GAAGTTATAATTCTATAACCTAAACGCCTATATATACTTCTAATAATTTACTATACTAAACTTATACTTAGTACTAACTAGAACTTTATTTATTATTAAGTAAGAAGTATAATTCCTTAAATAAATTATTTAAAAGGACGCTAATTAGTTCTTTTTACTTTTTATAAGTAGATTTATTATAATAAGATAACTATTATTAATAAAAAGATATAAAATATAAAAAGGTATAGTAGATATTAACTAACTACTATAACTTATAAAAACGCTTAATAGCTTAAATATAAATAGCTTAAAAAGAAATTATAGCTATAATAAGAATTATAATTAGAGAATTAAGTTAGTACTAAAGAGTTATAATTATCTTATACTACTAAGAGAGTATATTAGACCTTAATTAGAAGCTAAAAGTAACTATACCCTCTAGAAAGGTATATAATAATATTAAGTAAAAAACTAATATCTTAGTTTTCTTACTTTTCTTAGTAAAGTATTAATACTTTATAAAAATAATTATTAATTAGAAAAATAGTATAGTCTATTAGTATAATTTAATATAGTATAAAGGTCTTTTAAAGGCTTTTTTTATTAATAATATTAAAGCTTTTATAAAGTTCTATACTAAACTTAAAGCCTTATTATATATACTTAGCTTAATTTATTTTAGTGCTTATATAGTAAATATAGTTTAGTAAATAAGTAGTTAAGAATATAGCTTATATATTACTAAATAGTTTTAATTAGTACTTTACTTAGGCTTAATATACCTTACCTTAACTAACTTTTAAAATAATAATTATTCTTAAAATACTAACTATAGTAAAAAAGTATAACACTACTAAATAACTTAAATTAGCTTAAAGTTCTAGTTTATTAAAAATAACGCCTATAATATAATACGTTAAGCACCTAGTGTACTCTTAGAAATATAGCTTAAAAAAAAGTAATAAAAGTATTAAGAATAAGGCTATAATTAGAGAACTCTAGGTGTTATATTAAGCTTTATTTAAAGTATTAACTTAAACTAAACACTAATATAAGAACTATACTTTAAAAGCTTAAAGTTTAACCTTAATATAGACTTTAATACTATAAACTTTAACCTAATAAACTATAAGTATAAAGTTAAATAAAAAACTAACCTTACTATAAGTAGGAGGCTTACTAAAATATAAAGTAAATTAGTATAGCTAAATAAAAATAAAGTAAGTCTTAATATACCTTAAATACCTCCTCTTTATAATTAAAAAGTAAATAGTTTAAAGTTACTAGTAGTCTACTTAATTAGACTTACTACACCTAATTAAAAATAGTATATTTATTATTTAAACTATTATTTATAAAAAATACTTTATCTTAATATAGAAGTCTAAAGAAAAAGGTTAAGGTTATAAAAAACACTTTATCTCTTAAGCTACTACTAAAGGGAGTCTAGAAAAAATAAAAAGAAGTAAAAAAGAATATAATAAAAAAATAATAATTTAAATAAAAGGAATAAAAGGCCTTATATATTTAGTATACTTAATACTATACTAATTAGTAAAAAAGATATAGTAATATAAACTACTAGTTAAATAAGTATATACTTAACTATAAGTAGTAAAAGTAAGTTAATTAGTATAAAAACCTAGTAGTAAAGGCTATATTTACTATATAAGTATATATACTATAGTATTTACTATTAAGACTAAAATAGTAAGAGAGCTAGGCTAAATATAATATAAGAGTTAAGTAGGATTAAGCTAATAATATAAATAAAGATAAAGACTAAAATAGACCTTAATTAAGATTTAAGATATAATTTTTCTCTTTAAGATTATACTTAAAAAAATTATAAGGGATAATTAAAGTAAGAATAAGGATTTTATTTATTTAGTAGTTATAAAAAAAAGTATAATTAGTATTAAAAAGTATAAAAACCTTTTAATTAGCTATATTAAATAAAGAATAATTATACTTTCTTCTTTATTTTTTTTAAAAAAATCTTTATACTAGTGCCTTATTCCTTAATTAATTTAGCTAATACGTAATAACTTAGGTAATAAGGAGCTATCTACCTTATCTAATTAATTTATAGGATTCTAATTAGTATTAAAAGCCTAATTAGATCTTAAAAACTTAATATAATTAGACTAGGTACCTAAGTTACTTTATGTTATAAGGTGTTAGTGTATTTATTTATATATTACTATTATAACTAGAGTCCCTAACTACACTACTATACGCTTTTAATACTTAAACTATATAAGCTAATTATAGTAGTAAGTAAGCTTTATAAAGTCTAAAAGTATATTAACTTTAAGGCTAAATATAGCTAATAAGAATTATAATACTATATAAGTCTTATAAAATAAAAGTATTATAAGATTTAATAAGAGCTAGGCTTATAACTCTTATAAGCTAGAGTATATAGTAAGTAAAGAGATATAAATAGGTAAAAAAAAGGCTTATATTATAAGAAGATAAATCTCCTAGGTAGAGGGCCTATATAAAGCGGGCCCTTAAGCTTGTTTATATAATATAGCACGTAGTGTAGCTAATAATAACTGCTATATATATATAAGCCTCTTGTAATAACCTGGTTTTTAGTAACTAGTAACTAGTAACTAATAGGCGCCTAATTTCTCGTAACTAGTAATTAGCAGGGTAAGGTTTTGTAAAGACTAGTTAAACATAGAACTGATGCTCCTCTTGACTGGTACTATGCTGAGGCCGCTACATTAGAACAACGCGACTGGTTATCTACCTATATATAGTATTTGTGCTACTATTTACAAGGCGCGGATAGGGACTAATCACACCTGGCTAGAGGACCAACCCGCAGCACCAATGGAATCTTTAGTCAGCTTGTAATGCAATATTACAAGTGATTTGTCAGGGCCACCTGGAGCTGGGCGCAAGGAACCAGAGCGTTGGCGCTAGACACTGCATAAAAAGTCATATTTCCTGGAGTTGGGCGCTTGCATTAGGGCAGTGCAGTATGGCTATCCCTGCTCTTAGTATAGCTTACGGCAAGTTTACCTGCGAACTGAAACACTGACAAGGGCTAGGGTCAGGGTGACCAGCCTAGGCTCACCCTCTGCTCACCTTTGCTCAGCTTCGGCTCAGGTTAAAGCAGCCACAGATCAGCCCCCACACTCAATGCGGATTTGGGACGAAGTTCTTGTCGTGGGTGACTATCTAGGTAAGAGCGGACGGGTCAGCAAGCATACCTACCTACCTACCTAGGTACATACGCTACGCTACGTGTAGGGGGTTAGGTACTTACATAGTAGTTACGCTAGCAGCTGAGGACGAGCTGAAGCGTTAGATGTGGGGATGACGGGCAGCGTCCGTGGCTGAAAAGGCGAAGAAGCGAGAAGCTGAAGTGAAAGTCAACGTTTTGGGGTCGAATGGCATTGTGTCGCAGGGCGAGACACTTTGCCCCGGATTTCTACCGGATGGACATGACACTATTCCAGAAGGAGGCAAGGGGACGTCGGAGTGCCCGTGACTCTACCTCGGTACGGAGTAGGGAGGTGCACTACGAATAGGGATGTCTTGATTACGTGCCTTGCGGTTGGCAATTTTGGGAAGGTACGTATTACCTACAGGATGGCAGGGGTAAGTTTTTTCCCCCTATGATGTTATCCCCCATAGCTGACATCATGATAGAGGGGGAATATTCACCAAAAGTGGAGTTCTGTAGTAGGGGGGTGAGCATTAGTTACCTAACAGGGGGAAAAAACTTCGGCCGGATACCATCGTAGTGACTACCTTCCTCCTGCCTACCTCCCAGAGGTACGGTATCTAGGCAGGTAGATAGATGATGGCGAGGAAGTCGCGGTTGGTTTCCTTACCAAATGGGCAAGAGAAGAGAGGCGCTCTGCAGAAGGCATGCATGCACAAGTGAGTACCTAGATACACTACACTACACTACCTTTTTGATAGGTTTCTGTACAAAGCAGGAGCGATCCCGTTGTCGGCGTGCGAATAAAGCCTGCTATAACGTGGCGGCCGGCAGCAGTACGGATACACTAGTGTGCTGTACGTGTACATGTTACTTGCCTACCTACTTGGCACTATCTTGGTCACGTACCGTAACGTAACGCAACGTAAGTAAGCAGATCCCCTTCCTACACACCTACTACACTACAAACTAGGTAGGCGCTTGTAATCTTGCTCCCGATAGCGTCAGTGCCCAGCGCCTGCGCCTGCGCCTGCCTGCCTGCCCCGGTACCACCACCACCAGCATTAAGAATCTGTCTCTGCCCCTCCGTTGTCGTGCCCTCTTCCTTGTGGGCCCCATAAATGATCCTACCGTATCTAGCTGTCTCTTCTGCTGTCTTTCGTCATTGCCACGGCCCTTTCATCTGAAGCTTTCCTCTTCTGAACCCAAAAGGCCTTACCTACCTAGACGTCCCGGCTGCCCAAAGGTCCAGATTCATTGCTCGCTTGCTTGCTTGCGACTCGGCGCGCACTCTTACAAGAACGATATCGCTTCCCCGTTGAACAGTAACGACAACAACAACACCAACCATACTCAACGACTCTGCGCCTGTCGCTCCCGCTCAGACGAACTCGATTACCAAGCCCGAGGAAGAAAGAAAAAAAGGTGGAAAAAAAAGAAAAGAAAAAAGAGCGGCACCTCTTCCGCCTCGGCGCTACGAACCGAACTGCCTGCTTACCCAAACTCTCCCTTCCACTTCCCGTACCCAGGCCTAGGCACGACTCTGCACCCAGACCAAGACTCGATCCGAGCCGACCCCCTTTCCGCGCCTACCCAACCCCCATTGACCATCGAAAAGAGCCCGCGGGCTCTTGCGCTCATCGACTTCTTTTCGTACCTCGCCGCCTACCTTGACCCATCTCTCCTCGCGCACCCAACTATTCGGGCCGTGATGGACGGCGTGCTGCCAAGCTGAACGACGACAAACGAACAAACATATCCCCGAAACCGAACTGGATCGGTCCCTTAACCCTTTATGACGGGATTCTCAGCAATCAACAAGAAGCTACACAACATGGCGGCCACCGTTGCGCACGCGAATCACGTACCAAATCAGGTCGGACGAGGAGGTCTCTCCAAGATGATGAGTGGCGGCGGCGGTGGCGGTAATAGCAACGGCAACGGTCATGGGCAGCAACAACAGCAGCTGCTGCAGCTCCAACACGCTGACGCTGGAGTTGGCCCCGTCGCAAACCGGAGATTAACGCCCCAGGACTTTCACGTCGTACGAACACTCGGCACGGGTTTGTCTCCTCCAGTTTCTTACATACATCTCCAAGGCGACGGCCGTGTTTCTGGAGACCATTTGTTAACCACGTTCCTTACCCCGTACAGGTACCTTTGCCAGAGTCTGTCTCGTAAGGCCGGTCAATGCGACCGAGGAAGAGCGAGATACCGTGTTTGCCCTCAAGATCTTGCGCAAGACAGAGGTCATCAAGCTCAAACAGATCGACCACGTCCGCCACGAGCGCATGATTCTCGGCGACGTTGCTGGCCACCCCTTTATCACGAACCTCGTCTCATCCTTCGCCGACCGTGACCACCTGTACATGCTGCTCGATTACGTCCCCGGCGGCGAGCTGTTTAGCTACTTGCGCAAGTTCCGGCGGTTCGAGGAGGACACGGCGCGCTTCTACGCAGCAGAGATCGTCCTGGTGCTCGAGTACCTGCACGAACAACAGAACAGGGTCGCCTACCGCGACCTCAAGCCCGAGAACCTCCTGCTGGACGGCGAGGGTCACATCAAGCTGGTCGACTTTGGCTTCGCAAAGAGGCTGAGCAACAGCGCCGGCCAGCCCATCGAGACGTACACCCTCTGCGGCACCCCCGAGTACCTCGCCCCCGAAGTGATCCATAACAAGGGCCACACGACGGCGGTGGACTGGTGGGCACTCGGCATCCTGATTTACGAGTTTCTGACGGGCTACCCGCCATTCTGGCACCAGAACCCCATCGAGATCTACAAGCAGTGAGTCCTTTCTTGTCCGAGGCCGACGCCGCGCCGTCGCCTGTTTTGTGCTGCCACAGCCACTGACTGCCAGCCTAGAATCGTCGAGAAGCCCGTCATGTTCCCGCACGACCCGCCAGTCTCGGCCGAGGCGCAAGACTTGATCCGATCCCTTTGCACGGTGGACAGATCTCGGCGACTCGGTAACGTCAGCGGAGGAGCCGCCAAGGTCAAAGAACATGCCTTTTTCCGGGGCGTCAACTGGGACGACATATACAATCGGCGAGCACGAGGTCCCATCATCCCGCCGATTCGGTATCCCGGCGACGCGCAATGTTTCGACATTTACCCCGAGGACGACGGCAAGCGGGAACCATACACGGACGACATGGTCGAGAAATACGATCACTATTTCAAGGACTTTTGACGACAGTTGTTGGCCAGACTTGTGGGTGTGTGTGTGTGTGCGTTTGTGTTTTTTGTATCATGAGATGGGTTCTTTTTTTTTTTCTTCCTTGGGTGATGCTCATCTCCGTTTTTTCATTGCATACCATTTCATGATACTCCGCCATGTAACTCTACCGAATGCCCTTTTTTTTTTCCAGCGCTAGGCTTAAGAAGAAGGAAGGGAAGGAGGGGGCTGAGGAACGACGACGAGGCTTCCGGGCTTCGGGATCGAGGAAACTGGCGCTCACCGAGACGGGGCGGGGAATCTGGCGGCCAAGCAAGCCTTGGATCAGCATCTATTGGAAAGGATCACTGTAAGGCGTTCTACTGGCGTTGACATTTCATGTCTGCTACCACAAGGGTGGCGGTCCATGAAGCTCATATGGGAAGCTGGAGGAGGAGGAGGAGGAGGAGGAGGAGGGAGGGTAGCAGGTCAGACCAGGAGTAGACAAGAGGCTTCAATCGACCAACGTGTGTGTGCGTGTGCGTATGTGTGTGTACATGCAAAGTTTAGTTGGCGTTTCTTACGACTGCCGCAGTGTCGTATGTCGAGGGTGACAATCGGTACGACAATGCAATGTACGATAGGGGGCAGGAAACATGTCAATGCAGACAGAGTCCATGCTGTGGCAGCACGGGGGAGTGTCTCAGCTTTTCCTTGGGGGGGCCGCTAGCCGAGACGGGCATGGCACATGTTCACGAGGTGTTTGTCTGGGCGATGAAGCACGACGACGAAGCTCACGTCACCCGAGAGAAGTCCACTCACTGAGGAGTTGAGTACGAGTGAGGGGAGGGGTGGGGGGGGGGGGGGGGGGGGGGGGGGTATAGTAGCGGTGCGACTTGATGCCACTGATGAGGGCGATATGGAAGCTGTACGCTGGGCGCTGTCAATCTTACGACACCGCCATGTCACGTGCCCGGCCTCCTGTTATACGCGGAACGAGATAGCCATGGGTTCGGAGCATTGCCGCGACACCATGCTCACTTAACGATAAGTGTCCATCGAGTACCGCGGGCCTCTCCGCCCCAAGCCCGTCCGGGTATCGGGTCTGGACACGCCGTGTACGGGAAATAAAGGGCTCACCCCTTGACCTCGATAGAAGTAGAGAGTTATCCAGATCCCGAGAACAGCAACATCGTTGTTCACGGCCTGGGGAGGGTATTCAAACGTCAGAGGCACTCACAGAACGGATGTAGTAAGTCGGCAATGGGGGGGGGACAGCCAGTGTTCTCGTAAAGCTGATATCATGGTTATAGACACGAGCGAGCTGGAATGAGTTGAAGGGTTATGAATGCCATGTCGTCACGGTTGGTTCGTTCAAGTGAGAGAGAGAATGAGACTGACGATGCGGTGGAGTGGCGGGCGGCGCTGTCGGTAGTTAGTGAAGAATGGGCGGCTCACGAATAAAAAGGTGCAGGCAGTCAGGGGGGGTGGGGTGCTGTGGCGGTCTGTCACTTACGGATGCGGGTCACTAGCAGTGCCTACAGGAGTGCGCAGGGCAGACCTGTTCGGGAGGGCGAGGCAGGGAGGGTACGTACCCAAGACCCTCGAGGGGCAATGGACGTCAGTCAACCTGGGCGGGAAACCTCCAACTATCCACTACACTGCATTCAGCTCCAGTCCCACCTCTGCTCTGCACTGCACTGCTTTGCTCTGCTCTGGCGCGGCTGCAACGCAACTAACTGACTGACTGCATCGTTCCTCCTTCCGTCAACCTGTCTGTTCTCCCTCCACCGAAGCACCCACTCAACCCCCGATCTCGAACTCTTACGAATCCAACCTCACCCACCCTTCGTCTGTCTCTCGAACCTGGCTGATGCCTCGGCAACTCTACCTCAACCTGCTCTAACGCCAGAGATCGTCTGTTCCGTTGGGAGACGGCAACGTTGTTCCGGGCCTGTCCCTCGACTCCCTCCCCCCTCCTCCTCCGGCCCCAAACCCACCAACCCGACGAGACTAGACTCGACCTGACCTTACCTTGCCTCGCGATCCCCGTCCCGTTCCGCGTGAACCGAACCTTCGTTCTTCGGTCCTTTCGCACCAGCATAACCCCACGACATGACAAGCTGAGTGCAACGGCTCCAGGATGTTCACTCTATCCAGCCTCGTCCAGAAGGCCCAGCAGTTCGTCGACCCGACCCAGGGCCTGAACCTGACCAATTCCGACAAGAACCCGTCCAAGTCGTCGCTGTTCCAGAACCAGTTTCGCCTTCCCAGCACCCAGACGCCGCTGTACGAGATCAATGCCGAGCTGACCATCCCACCCGCCAATGCCACTTTTGGAGGAAAGGACCACGATCGAGGCTACCACTATGCCGGCAAGCTGCATCTCTCCGAGAGCTACATGTGCTTCTCCACCACCCCCTCCAGCTTCGTCCAGTCCGCCAGCACCTCGACCAGTTCTGCCTTTACTGGCCAGACACACGGTGGAGGACCGAGCGGGAATGGCTTCACCTTCCCTCTCTGTGCCATCCGGCGCGTCGAGAGGCTGAACAGCCAGACCTTTCAGGTTCGTCAGCTTGATTATGCATCCCCCCCCCCCGCCGTGACCTTGCCAGCGGTCTGACCCCGAACTGACACGCTATTCCGCCACCTAGTTTGCCTTGGCCATCACCACATGGAATGGCATCGCCCAGCAAAAGGACAAGGACAAGGACAAAGAGGCTGCGCCCGACAAGGAAAAGAAGGACAGTCGCGAGCAGAGGATCACGGTACACCTGGCCGGCACTCGGCAGTCCTGCGAGCGATTCTGCGACGGCCTGAAGAAGGGACTCCGTGCCGGCGTTGGCAACGTGAGCAAGTACAAAAAGGTTGTCGGCGAGTGCTACTCCGAGTACCTCCTCCGGTCCGACGACAAGAAGAATGCGAGCCCACCCGACGCCGGCTTGGGCATGATGTTCCGCTACCCTGGCGACCCGAAAAAGCTGCGCGACCGGGCCAAGATGCGTCTCTGGGCCGAATACCTGCGCGATAACGGTCGGAACATGACGCTCATCCGCCAGCCCACCTTTCATAAGCTTATCCGTGTCGGTCTGCCCAACCGCCTGAGAGGCGAGACCTGGGAGTTGACCTCGGGCTCCATCTACCTCCGCCTCGAGCATCCTACCCTATACGCAGAGACCTTGGCCAAGTACGAAGGTCAAGAGTCTCTGGCCATTGACGAAATCGAAAAGGACCTGAACCGAAGTCTTCCAGAGTATCCCGGCTTCCAAAGCCAAGAGGGCATTGGTCGGCTCCGACGCGTGCTTACGGCTTACAGCTGGGTGAACCCCGACGTCGGCTACTGCCAGGCCATGAACATCGTCGTCGCGGCGCTGCTCATCTACATGTCCGAGACCCAAGCCTTCTTCCTTTTGTCGTCACTTTGTGACAGGTTGGTCCCGGGTTACTACTCGACAACCATGTACGGAACGCTGCTGGATCAAAAAGTGTTTGAATCACTCGTCGAGAAGACGATGCCTATCCTGTGGGAGCATCTGGTCAAGAGTGATGTCCAACTTTCTGTGGTATCGCTGCCTTGGTTCCTATCACTGTACATCAACTCCATGCCTCTCGTCTTCGCCTTTAGAGTCCTTGATGTCTTCTTCGTTGAAGGGCCCAAGGTCCTGTTCCAGATAGGCCTCGCCATTCTAAGGATCAACGGCGAAGAGCTCCTGGATGCCACAGACGACGGCGCCTTCATCTCGATCCTCAAGGGCTACTTTGCTCGTCTCGATGAGTCGGCGCACCCCAAGTCCGAAAACCCGAAGCTGCGTGCTGTTACAAAGTTCCAAGAGTTGATGGTTGTGGCGTTCAAGGAATTCTCCGGAATCACCCACAGCAGCATTACCGAGTCGCGATTAAAGAACAAAGACGCCGTCCTCAGCAACATCGAGAGCTTTGCAAAGAGAACGGCTCTCCGAAACCTGGGCCCCGACAGCAAGCTTCTTGCGCCAGAAGAACTTGGCGCCCTCTACGATCGCTTCTACACCATCCTATACGAAAGACAGCAACGCGAGAGCATCATCCAGCAAGAGAAGCAGCGTCGCGCAAAGAACGCACGGCCCAGGGCTCGTGATGTTTTCGAAGTCAACGACGAGCACGTCGAGAAGGGGCGTGTGGCACTAGGGGCCAGCACGAGCATGATGGACTATGATGCTTTTAGAGAATTCCTCGCCAACATGGCCAAGTGGGCCATCTCCGACTCGCCCACCACGCCGCGACGAGATACCTTTTCAGACCGGGACAGGAACGCCTACACGAGCCGGCGGCAGAACAACGGTCTCCTGTCTCCGTGGGGTTCCAGCCCAGAGCCCGCCGATCACGAGTTCATGCAACGGCTGTTCAAGAAATGGGACGTCAGCGGCACGGGCGCGCTGACGCTGGCCGACGTCGTTTCAGGGTTTGCCCGAATCAAAGGCAAGAAGGACATTATGGGCACCATCACCTACTTCTTTGAGTTGTACGATGACGACGGCGACGGCAAGGTTGATCGCGAGGGTATCCTGCGTATTTCCGAGGCCCTGTTGTTCTTGTCGAGACGAGGACTCGAGGGGACTCTGAGCCCGAGCGCCTCTACCATCACCCTCACCTTGCCAAATGGTCAGGGCGGCCCCGAGCCCAGCCTTCCCGGCATTTCGACCAACGAGAGGTTCCTGGGCAGCGTCAGCGCATTCATCAGGAGATGCTTCGAGTACGCCGACCCTGACCACCCGAACAACAAGATCCACGAGGAAGAAAAGCACAAGGCTGCAGACAACGAGGCCTTTGCTATCGGTGACGACGAGGATGAGGAAGACGAAGATCTCCTCACCATGGACTCGCCCACGGCCAGCTCCTCGGCGGCGACGAAGCCGTTGTCAGAGTCACCGCTGCCGCCGACCGAGGAGAAGAACAAGGCTCCCGTCGCAGGCCAACGACGTGTCTCCAAGGCACAATCGGAAGCGGCAAATGCCGCGCTGGACCCGGCCAACCCTCTTCACATGACGCTGCCCACGTTCCGAATGGTTGTCCTTGCCGACGAGCTTCTCGAACAATTTTTCGAGTCCTCTTTTCCCATCTCCTTCCATCTCATCGAGGGTCTGCCATCCGTATCGACGCCCAGCTCGACGCTCACGACCTTCTCCAGTCTAAACTTTGGACGCGCCCCAGTTGCCGCTCTGAACCCTGCTGCCCAGGGAGCCACTCGTGGCCTTCGCGGAGTGCTGGACAACATTGTCACGGACGGCATGCGCGTCGCGGCGGAAGTCCGCAGGAGGATGGACGAGGCACAGAAGGAGTTGGAGAAGAATGCCGCGCCCGGTCAAAAGGACGAGGAAGAGGAGGACGACGCAGACATTGGAGTCGAAATCGGCATCAGAAGAGGCACAGCGGGTGCGAGCGCGGACATTGAAAGACGCAGTGTCCGGAGTGAGGACCGAGATCTGCTTGACGGGGCAGACGCCGAGGCCGGGGCCAACGCCAACGGCAAGGAGGGCCAGCTCGTGGACATTGAGCCCACGAACAGAAGCGAGGCGAATGCCAAGGGCGTTGTTGAGTTCGAAGGCTGATAGCGGTCCCGGCGCACGCAACGCCTGCGTGATAGGTTACAATAAAAACCCTCTTGAGACAAACAGGGTATTGGAATGGCGAAATGCATGATGTTGCCGGACTGGGACGACGCAGGGAACAACACTTGGCCGGATGGCTCGGGGGGAATGGGAGAGAGAGAGAGAGAGAGAGAGAGAGAGAGAGAGAGAGAGAGAGAGAGAGAGAGAGAGAGAGAGAGAGAGAGAGAGAGAGTGTGTGTGTGTGTGTGAGGGAGGGCTGGGCTGGGCTGGGCAGGTGGTGTTTGTCCTTTGGCTGCGTGATAGAAGGTTTGTGGGAATTGGGATTATACCTGCCAACGTCTTATAACCGGGAGTACGTTTGGGATTGCTTGCCTCTGCGGCTAGATTACCAGGTCACTCGAAAGAAGATGCTGACCTTTACAGGCCTGACTGTGTCAGGGCATCTTACTACGTGGTTCCAGACAAAAACATGGTGTTCGAGCAGTGTGAACCGGCTTGAGGTCTGAGAGAGATTATCAGTCGACCCCGCCTGCCACGATGAAATTCCTCACAGGCTTACTACTGCTTGCTGCACTGAGACCAACGAAGACGGCAGTCCTTTTGTCTGTCACCAGGTTCACCATGCTGCCCAAGGCCCAATCTTCCCGGTCGGTCCCCACTGATACCCGCGCTCGTCCGGACGTCTTCCCAACGGCCGGCCCATCTCCGTCGATCGTTTCCCCCCCCTACACACACACTCATGGCGGTTGTTCCATCAGTCCACCCCCGTCTCGTCTCTCGGGTAAGTCTTCTCTCTCTCTTCTCTCGACACGGTGGCGGCTCGACAAGATTCCAACAACGCTGCATGGGACCGAACCGATGACCTGTGGGATGAGGCGGTGAGGCAGGTTCCGGTTTGTTAGCCCACTGCCGGAAAAGCGTATCTTTTTGCCGAGGGGCATGCTGGGAGGGCCCGCAAAGTTAAGAGACACGCACACCATTGATTGTTGGTGGCTTTAACGTTTTTTATATCCTATTCGGCTTGGTGCCCGAAGAGAAGACACTTGCTGAAGTCGCGATGGCAATGGGTATATATGTTTCCTAACCCATGTTAGCTTCTAGGACTCCACGTTTTCCACCACGGCGTTGACCCTATTTTCGGCCTGTTTTATGATTATCCAAGCCCTTTGGGGGGGGGCTTGGAAACCTCGGAGCTGAGCCCTAGTGAATCCCTGCGAAGACCTTGACGAAATAGCCGTCTCGAATATGGATGTTCCTGAAAGCGAGCTTAAGGATCTGTATTTCAAAGGTAGAATAGTGCTTGCGGTGGCTTGCATAACCTACCTTTCTGCGCGATCGGAGCCCTTGTAGACAGGCCCTAGATCTTGATGTGTAATAGGGCGGGCCTGTTGTATCAAACATGAATAACATAGTATAGCTATCCAACGTCCCTAAGTACGGTCTTCCTGTCTAAAGGCATTACGTACTGGACAGCTGACAAGTGGTGTAGCGCTAGCCAGGATGCAGATAACGACGCTCCTGTTGCATCCATCTCTTGGGGCGGGCGATGGCTGGTGTTGCTATAAGTGAGCTACGGGTTTCGTTCCGTTCTCGAGATGGAGAGGAATGCCGAGTCCCTACCCTCTCATCAAGGGGCCTGGATCATTGCTGCTTCGTACCATCACCTGCGCCGCAGAGATGCTGACCGAGCACCTCCACGCGCGCGACGCCGTCGGCGAGCTACACGCTCGCGAACTGGAACATCACCCCTCTGGCCGGGTGCATGGCCATAGGAGCGCACCGGTCCTCGCTCCGCGAGGACTCGATGGTCGCCGCCGGCGTGCCAAGTATCGACATCGTCGACGGGTGGCTCGCCGCCTTGACCTCTCTCGGCCTGCTGGGCGTCATCTTGAGGATGAAGTTCAGCATCTATCCCGACTTCAAGGTATACGCGCAACAAGAAGAAGTGAGAGAGCGACTAGGCCTCCGCCCCCTCTTTCACTATCTGTCGCCGGCGAGGCGGGCCCGATTTCTTCGTGGGGGGTGGGTCGCTGCTGACATGCCTACACAAGACCACAACCTCGCCAAGGTCCCCATTGACGAGTTCCCATGCCGTCCGCACTTGTCCAAGAATATGAGAGAGGTCCTGACCCAGTCGGCGAAGAACATTGACCCCGATGTGAGTCCCCACTGCCGTCCCCGATCAGACTTCGTTGTCCTGCTGACGCAGTTTTTTAGTAGTTTTTGAGTTTATTTTTCATATTTATTCATTTCTACATAGCATACTGTACTTCAATGCTGTGATAGAACGGATCTATCTGAACGGAATCTCCAAGAGTGTCGTCGGCGAGGCCATCGTGGTGTACCAGGGTATAGATACTAAGCGGGATGTAGTTAAAGCTGCAACTCGAGAGGGACTCGTATACTTTCTTCTTCTTCATGTCCATAACTCGCCTTCGCGTTGAATATTTGACTTGATTGCCTGGCCTACTTTGCATGTTATGAGGAACTCGCATAATGGCGCGGCAGAAGTGGTAGCAGGAAACGGGCGAGCTTTCTGGAACTAACGTCCTGTCCTAGTCGTATTCATCTACAATGAATAGATACAGCCCCCGTCCTTCGCACCTCGGTTCTTGGACCATCGTGAAGCGGACTTCGGTCGTTCCAATGCGGTACATACGCAACAAGCAGTGGCTGGCCCCATCGTGCTTGACATGTGTCTTTACTCGTGCCTAGTCCAGGCGGGCATTCCTCGAAAGCGGAAGACGTTCAAGCTCTACGACAACACGTCACGCCACTATGCCGTTCGAAGGAAAGTCTTTTGGGACACGCAGAATAATCTGACTTCCAGCATAGATGGGGGGAGACAGACAAAACGACATGAGGAACGAGCCAGGAGAAGTCGGAGTCCACGTCCCCGTCCCCGGACGCGGACGGGGTGGCCCCACGGGCCGAATTTGCCGGCAGTCTCTCTCCCCTTCGGCCGAAGAAGGCCTGAGTGAGAATAGAGTTGCCTCTGCAACACGCAGGGTACAAGGCCCGCGAAACCTAGAAAGACGGGGTGTTCCTGACGGACTGATATTGTTCGGGTGGATGCGCAGACTCACAAGACGGTGGGTGTGCTTGCTTTGCATGTTTTGACACTAGAAAAAAGAAAAACAAAAAAACCTCTCTTCAAATGTTCATCTCACAAATGCGGCGGATGAAAGAAGAGAGTGAAACCTTGAAAAAAAACACGGCCGGCCTCTGGTATCATGTTTATGCTTCTCTGCTCGCGCGCGCGGGATGGGGCTACGCCCAGCCTCGGCGAGACGACGTTCGCCTTTTCCCATGTGAGCTGCGCTGAGCTGGGTTATCATTTGCGACCCCCTCGCTTTCAACCCCCCCCCCCTCCCTAAACACTTTCGCTCACGCTCGCGAGTACGCAGTACGTCAGAAGGGCGAAACCAGCGAGTTGAAGACAACGAGCTAGACTCGATTCCGCAAGCGATGCGGCTGGTACCGACCGCCCTGCCCTTTTCCCGTCGTGAAACCCCGTCCGACGCGCGCGGTGCGTCGAGTCGTCCTCGTTGGGACAGCAGCTCGCTCATTTCTACACGCGCACCAGGGGGGGAGGGGGAGGGAATTGGAGCAGGCCCCTGTCTATGACGAAGAGCAAACGCACATCCCGCTCCAAAGAAAGAAAAGGTTAACGTTTCCTCCCATTTCGCGATCGTCTGAAGGAGGGCCACTGTTGCGTGTTCGGGGTTGGGGGGGTTGGGGGGGGGGGGGGGGATGACGTTGCAAGAGAGAAAAAGTTTCGACCTGAACCGCCCGCTTTCGTAACGAAAGGCGTGTCTGCCAGACCGGGACAAACCCGGTTCTTTTCAACATGGCCTCTTTACCCCTCACCCTTTCCCCCCCCTGGGCGGAAAGACAGGCTGATGTGTCGACGACGTCGGGCCAGGTCTGGCGGGAGAGCATCCTTTACCGTCGTCCGACGATTTTGAGCCTCACAGTATGCGCTATACTTGATTGAGCCCTTGATCCCCAACCGGAGGGTTCTGCGACCCCAGTTGACCTGTTGTAAGTTCCGTTATGCGTAAAACTCTAGTGAGCCTCCGTCGCTCATACTCGCTTCGCAGGCGTCAGCTTCACTATCAACGGGGGCGCCCTTCTCCCACGTGAACTAGCACTTCTGCACCGCCCAGTCTTCCGTCCCGGGACACATCTCCAGGTCGTAGTGCCGCAGAGTTTGCTCGGAAGCAGGCAGAGCTCAAGCCACGGCCAGGCTACGTAGGGCCAGCATCAGCAAAAAGGGGGAAGCGGAAAAAAAGAAAAGAAAAAAGAACAATAGTGATATATAAAAAAGGAAAGGATTTCCTCTCTGAGGCGTGACCGTACTCAATGGGAAACCAGGGGTGAAGCAGTGCTGCAACAGTACAGGGGGGGGACCAGGGACACACTCACTCCTTTCAGATGCAAGTTCTCGGCCCGTACGAGAAGGGCTCGTACATAATCCCGCTTGTCGTCCTTCCACTCCGGGTCCTCCGGGTGGAGCCACCGCTCCAAGATGAACTCGGTCGGCCGGGCCCAGTTGTTCGGGTGCGTGAAGGCGAGGTACGGGTTGAGAGAAACGAGCGTCTGCACGTAGTGTTTCAGTTAGCCACCGTATATAAGCGCGCGCGCGCGCGAGATCGCCTTCCATTTAAAAATTAGGTACAAAAAAGGGGGGAGGGGGAACGGTCGCGGAACACTCGCGCCGTCGGGGATCACGTCGCCGCAGATCTCCGCCCCACCCCTCGGGACGATCCTCGGCAGCCTCGGTCACCCCGCCCCGGGTCATACATCCACAGCACCCTTGCAGGTACGGCAAGCCCGGCGAGCCCGTCGACGCTGACGTCTTGGCTCCGCGCGAACCGGGCCAGGATTCCCTTCGTCAGCAGCGCGAGCGCCCGCGGCGTCCGCAGCAGGTGGGACGTCATCCTCGACAGCACCATCGCCGTCGCCTCCGTCCCTGCGGCCATGAACATGGCCATGTCGGCGTGCATCTCCCCTCCATCCTTCTTGGGCCCTTGGCCCCGCGAAGAGGTTGCTGATCCGGAGGATGTAGTCCCCCCACTCTGGAGCAGCCTCAGCGGCCCGCCAATGGTGAGATCGGCCACGACGTCGAGCGCGAAGAGAGACGGAGACAATGTGTGCCGCTGGACGTGAGACAACTCGTTAGGAGCTACGCGGACGGTGCCGTGGTAGGCCCCCGCGGATCTCGCGCGCCTTGGTGGCGTACGTGCTCATGGGCAGGTAGAGAGGTTTTTCGGCACCGGACTGAACCGTCAGAGAAGCGGCTACGAATAACGGCGCAGCGGGTGGAAGAAGACATGGTATATCCCAAGCAGGAAGTGCTGTAGGTGTCTTGAGTTCTGCGCCGCCTCCCCTCCCCTCTCCCTCCAGCTGCTACCAAGGTTTGGCAAACATAAATGCATATAGGTAAAGACTAGCTCGCTGCGATGGAGAATCACTGTCCGTAACCTAACGCCGTCGGATGTTTTACACGGTCCTTATTTTTCTTTCACATCTATTAACCAAAGTCAGGCTGGGCCGCGAATCTCGTCGCCGTGCTTGGGCGACGGCGAGGGCCAGCGGTTTGCCTTGTCGGGCAAACCCCAACGTCACTGCGGGAAGGTTTTGGATTGGAGGAGACAGCACACAACACGGTTGAAATGATGACGGCTCGGTTGGTTTCATGAACCATCAGGCTGTTTTGCCATGTTAGAATTGATAACAATCCGGTCACGTCGCCGTGGATCCACGCCGACCAAGAGATGCAGCTTGCGGGTGTCGTTGACAGGAAACGGTAACAATGGGCAGAGAGGGCCGGCTCGGAGCCGAGTTCGGGACTACTCGAGACCTAGATGTTGTGCTCCAACTCTCGTCAGTCCTGACGATCGCCACGGTCCCGGGTGATGCAAGAAGAGATCCGACTCGACCGAACGTGCTCGGCTTCAGTACGGATCGTGGATTGGGAGCAAAGGTTAGATGTCAGAAAGGTTGGGGGAGAGAGAGTCAGCGCCACCTTCATCACCTTGGCTTTATCGATAAGACGTGATCGTAAGCCCCTCACCTCCCCTCCGCTCGCTGTTGAGCTCCTTGCAGCAGCACCTACGTCACCATGTGGTCTCTCCCTCGCATTCCTCGACTGTCTCTCAACATACCCCCTCAAATTCGTATTTCAACGGTGCCGCATTCCAGAAACGTTTAAGAGTGAACAGAAATAGAAAGGCAAAGAATCTACCAATCCCCCCGGCGGATAGTAAGAAAAAAACAAAGTACTTGACGCAAGCAGACAAGCGGAGAAAACATGTCTCCAATCCTGATTGTTGGCGCCACTCGGGGCCTCGGGGCTTCCCTCACCAAGCAGTACGCCGCGAAAGCCGACGATACGGTGTACGGCACGACAAGATCAAAGGAAGGTCCAGAAGGCTTTCCGAAGAGCGTCAAATGGCTTCATGAAATCGACTTGACCAATGACAAAGTCGGCGAGACCATCGTCAGCCAGCTGCGTGGTTCAGAGCCGTTGTCGGCGGTGGTATGTTGTGGATTACACGCCGGATCTTAGCCAGCCCCGTCGTCTAACCACCTCACCCCGGTAGATCATCACGGCAGGCTATTTCGCGACCGAGGACTTCAGCGCCGACAAAGGCCCGAACTGGGCCGAAGAGCAGCGCATGTACACGACGAGCTCCATCGCACCCGTCTTCATCGTCCATGCGCTCGTGCACGCCGGGCTTCTCCAAAAGGACTCCAAGGTCGTGCTCGTCTCGTCCGAGTCCGGGAGCATCACCCTCCGACACGAGACGGAGGGGGGTGGCAACTACGCCCACCACGCGTCCAAGGCGGCCCTGAACATGGTGGGCAAGTTGCTGAGCCTCGACCTGAAAGAAAAGGGCGTCGTTGTCAGCATCGTCCACCCGGGCTTCATGCGGACCGAGATGACCAAGGGCGTGGGCTTCGACAAGTACTGGGATGACGGCGGTGGTGAGTGCATTCGTGCTCGCTCTGGAAGGCCGTGGCGCCGGCCTGAGGGGGTGCATCGCTAACATCTGTGTGCTTGCAGCCGTCACGCCGGACGAAGCTGCTGAGAGTCTCATCGGCTGGACGTCAGAGCTCGACATGTCCAAGACAGGCGAGTACTGGGCGCCGAGAGGGCCTGGTAAGTGGCCGACGTCCCGGTTCCACATTCGGGAGGACAAGACATTGACTGACACACCCCCGTCGAAGGCGACATTGGCACGGCCGAGCCGGTGCTCGGGAAATCCCTCTCGACGCCGCTGCGTCTTCCATGGTGATGGCTTGAAGAATGCTCTGGTCGGTGGTGGGCAGACAGAAATGCCGCTGCGGTACGTTGGGGAGGGGGTCCGGGAAGAACCAAGGCGGCCTAAGCCATGGGGCTGAGGGGCCATCCTTTAGAATTCGGACCGGGTGTTCCCTTTGAGAACCGGGCAGGCAGGCTTCATGGGTGCTGAGTCGGAGCGAGGCAGTTCGGTTGTTGATAGGGACCGTAGCGTGCATACCGCCCATTCACCTATACCGTACCGTGCAACCCCCATACGGAGCAAGGTTGTCATCGTCGAACACTCCGTGTCCCCGTCGACAATGACAGCGGCCGGGCAGAGTCGGGGGGCGGTTCGCGTGTGCAACTCTGCAAATGAGACAAATGATTCGCTTGATTGTCCCCCGCAGTTCCCGCAGCCGTAATGGAGCGAGGTTGAGCACCGACGTAGCCACTACAGTGGTAGAGATGCTGTCTTCATAGTGTACATCGAGCAGCAAAAGGAATAGGAGACGCGATGGTGGCCACGATCGCATGCTTCGCCGATGGTAAACCAGATCGACTGGCGATTCGTGGGGAACATGGAAGATTTCCGTCGCGCAAATACGATCTTCTCGAGGGGTCGCTTGCCTCTTCACGCGGCTCCCCGACTGGGGTTTCCCCTGCTCTTGTGGGTTTGCCGCAGCTGTTGATATTAATCTAATTCCCCATGATCATCTGCCAATATGAGCAAGCTCCGTTATTATAAGTCTTTTTCTTTCTTTCTTCTTCTTCAATGCTACCAGCCTCTCTTGTCCATGAAAGCCCGCTTACGTTTCAGATTGACAACGTGAGCCTGGGATGACGCTGCTTCCGCCTTCTTGTTCTACGAGACATCGTGACGACGACAGCGGCTCCTCGATCCCATCACGAAGTGTGCATGAGATGGAGAGACTAACCGCTAAGAACAAAGGGGGAGGCGGGAGGCGTCGGTGTCAGAAATGCGTCATACCATCAATGTCTCATCGGCTCGAGCAAACGAGCATCTTCGAGTGCCAAGCACCTAAAGGCATTTGTTTGGTTGCCTCTTCCAGGTACGAAGCCTTCGTGTTGCCGCTTCCTTGCCGCCTTGCGTCTGCGTACGCATTGCTAGCTAGCTAGCTAAATGGTCAATTGGTATGCTAGGAGGGATGGGGGTTTGGCGGCTGGCTGGCCCAGACCAGATCGTCCGAGGCTGAGATCGGAGGGCCTCTCCCTCGTCGGGTGGGAGCACCCAGTGCGCGTTTGGTTTTCCCTGTCCGAAGCTTGTTGGCAACTCCAATCGGCAACTGGTTTCTACGCTTGTTGCTCAATAAGTGTCAGGACGGAGCAGGTATCGTTCCTGATCACGCAATCACCACGCGCTGACGGGGTCTGTGTCCTTTGGGCGGGCGAGGAGAGTAACAGCTGTTTGCGCTCGGTTGACAGCTGAGATCGAGCGACCAAGTGAAGTTATCCGATGCAGAGCAGCTATTGGGCGCCACCGAGATGACCGGGCTGGCTGACACGGATAGGTGTAGCGTAGATGGCGCATCGAGGCTGAAGGCCATGAACGAGAGCGCTCTGGAGGAGAAGCATTGCACAAATGCTGCCGCTGCTGGCTGCGTTCCCATGCTTCCTTGTCGCAATGAGCAGCTGGGGGGGGGGGGGGGGGGGCCAACACGAGGTTGCAGTGCAGCATTTGAGAGAGCGGGCGACGAACAAGGATCCCCTGTTCTTTTTCGATTCTCGTCATCTTCTAATTGCTGAGTACCGAAGATACTAGGGGGACAGGGCAGGCGTAGAGCCCCATCTCTCATCTTGATTTCGAGTGAAAAGAAGTGGTGTGAGTACCAGCTGATGGCCGAGCCCTCAAGCTTTCCATGCAACGAGTCCGCCCCAAGACGGACGGAGGATTCGGGGGAAAGCTGGCCCTGCCAAGGCAAATCTCAGACCCAAAGACCAAAGGGGGAGAAGCACTGAAGAAGTAAATAAGGATCAAAAGGCCGTGGGTCCAAGTGGAGGGAGCTGATATGTACATGTCCGACAAGCCTGGGTCTTGATTGATTGATGTCAGGTACATGCCATGAGGCAGTATCTAGTTTAAGAGACGGCGAGCCAAGTCAAGGTACCTAGCGCGGCACAAGGAGGAGGACTCGTCGGTTGTAGCCGGTGTGTGCATACACATACCCAGCGCACTATGTACGGTACTCTATGCGGCAGACAGACACCGCCATGTGGCCCTGGGAGGATGTAAGCACTGCATCTTCAACCAGATGGCGCCTGGGCCGAACAAAGGTTTCCCGTCTACGGATTTCCGCGTCGCCGCCATCATCATCGTTGTTTGCGAACCCATAGGGATTGGAATGAAATGTCGGAAGGCTGGTAATAGCAGCGACTGGCGGCCTGTCAAGTCTCAGGGAGGTCGTCTTATTTTGCGGAGTTGCATTGGAAGCGAGAATCTAGGCGCATAGTACCCTGTCTGTCACTTGCCCGTCGACGAATTTGGTGAGCTGCAGATTGTAGAACGTGGGACTTTGGTAGAAGGGTATCGTCTGTTCTGCACACTACACTGCGCACGTGGAGTATAGTGGACGGAGTACTCCGTAGTGTAGTTTACATACGGTAGAGTGATCACGGGATCCTCAAGGGTCCTGGGGTCGTCAGCGTCGTCGGTACGTCTCGTTTGCAACCCTCGGTTAGCCGAGGACCATCACTCCAGTGTTGGTCATGGCTAGTGTTTCCCAGACCCCATGCCGCGATACTCGTTCGAGCGTAGAGCGACGGTGGATATCTTTACCATCTGCAAGCCGAATTTGGTCCGACACAAGAGAGATTGCGCGACAGGCGACAGCCTTCTGGCCGCGGCAAGAGACTTGATTAAGCCAGCCGCCAAGCGGTAAAGGCAAGCCCAGGATATCTCAGGTATCGTAATCAAGGTGTGTCGAAGCATCAGTGACAGAGAGAGAGAGAGAGCTTGGAAGGCCTTGCCATGACTGACTGTCACCCACCACCACCCGATGACTAGGCGCTATGCAGCCACAAACAAAAGCTAAGAGGCACTGCGCTGATGGAGGATGAGGCGGCGGCGGCGGTGGCGTTTGGTCGGCAACAGTATCGGGCAGGCGATGTTCCAAATCCTCGGAATCGGACTAAGGGCGAATACCAATGCGAGTGAGGTACAGAGTATCCGTATGCGTAGAGATAATAGAGGTGGAATTAGACCAGGGCGGGTTGGGTCGAGGTGGATGGATGTGCGAGGTCGAAATTGGGTGGTGGCCCAGGCCAGATGCATCAGCCAGGTACTACCTTCGTTCTGTCCAAGGTATCTACCTGGAGGACAGAAGGTACCTACCTAGGTAGTTTACCCAGCTGGGAGGGACTAGGACCAGGACGGGTGGAATGCGCGGGGATCGGGGAGACGGACTGGGCAGCCACCGTGTCGTAAGGATGGATTGCAATGGCATGTTTCTCTCTGCTTCGCTCTCGGCTTCTTTATTATTATTATTTTTATTTAGTTACTTACCTGTAGTAGTTTTTTTGGTCTGATTTCCCTTTCCTGGATTCATACCTTGGAGAACAGAACTGCTTTTTTCCCCCCCATCCCCTCCCTCTCTCTCTCTCTCTCTCTTTCTTCTTCTTTCCTCTCCCTCCTTCCTGAGGAAGAATCAGCTAATACTCACTACTACTGATACACACCAACGCACCTGCCCGCTCAGCCAGCCTCTTGCTCTTGCTGCTCCTACCGCTTCTTTCCTCTTTCATCCCTCCTTCTTTCCTTACCGGGCGACTCGGGATCCCTCTTAGCTTTGCGCCTTTCGAGACCCGCTTCCTTCCTTTGTTCTTTTCAGCAACGGCAAGTATAGCTTGCAGCCCCCCCTCCTTCCTTCCTTCCTCCCTTCTCGACGACCCTTCCCCCAGTGGCACCACCCGCCAAACCCGAGACCTACCTACCTCGCTTCCATCTCACTTGTAACCGTACACGAGGTCGCGAACTGAACCCAACTTCATCCCTCACACCAATCTTTCCCGGACTCGAGATTCTCTTCGCCTCTCGCTTTGACTTGCTCCTCGCCCGTTCTCGCTCGTCAACCTTTCGCATACCCGTCCGAGGTCACCTTTCATATTTCCATACCGGCCAAACCGTCCCGCATTCTCTAAGCATCCAAACACGACTAGCAACAGCGACAGGGCCATTGATCCAATTAACACACAAAGCACGTTCTTTACCGACAGGCACCGCTCAGGAGAAACACCGTCACTTTGGCCAAGAAAGGGAATACGGCACAGGCCATTGACACGCTCGGAGTCGACAAGGGAGAAAAGAACCAGTTCGAACGAAACATCTCCGACACGCCAGCCCATCCCAGCCACTCCTCGCTGGTACCGAGACATAAAAAAACAAAAAGTTGGCAACACGGCCGCCTGCCTATCCACGACGCAATCCCGTTGGGTCCTCCGTCCGACTTGACCTGATCAAAGCGACCAAGAAGTTGGGTCGACCCGGTCCGTGTTGCAGTCGCACAGAGCCCTTGTTACACGCGCAATACACTTGCCTATCTAACGAGTGCACAAGCTGCCAAACACCATTATTGCGGCGGCACTTTGGATCCTTCTCGGAGTGTCACTATTCCATAGCCTTGGAGTCCGGAGCAATACCATATCAATCAGCCTAATCGCCCCTCCTGAGAGAAAAAGGGACGACGTTTTCCCGCAATCCTGGGCGCAAAGACGCGGTAGTTTGCCAAAAAGAAAGTTTAAAGAGAAAAAAAAAGGCAAACGACATATCTCAGTCAAGGGTGAGTGAGTCTGCAGGTTCCCTTTTCGGCCCACTCTTCTTCCGCTGCTACTGCTGCTGCTGCTGCTGCTGCTGCTGCTTGGCCTTGCTGGTAGCCCCCCGTTCGTCCATTCAACGACGTTGTCCACCGCCATCCTTTCGCAAATCCCCGATCCCCAGTCCTGTCCAAAACCAAGCAGCCAAACCCCTTCTTCAACCTCGCCCGCTGCTCCGTGGACCCTGATCCACCATTCTACCACCCAGAATTCCAAGCCAAATCATTCACTTCCCAGCACACCAAATTTCCCCCTGAATTGGCCCCAAGCCCGATATTCCCATTAGCCCCCACTCCGTCGACTCAACCCAAACCAAAAGCCAGCGGGTTATTTTGAACTGACATTGGCCAAAGCAGGACGAAGTGTAGCAGCCTAAACAGACGCGCATTCCCGATTATTGTCGAGATTCCTCGATATTACCTCCGGTCGGCTCAACTCACCCCTTTTTTCCCCTGCCTCCACCCACCATCGGTACCTTCACTCCACGACCCACGCTCACCCAGCTTGAGCCCTCCAGGCCCCCCCCCTCCCCCCCAACCCATCGTCGTCCATCTACCGCGACTTGCTTGTTCATACACCGCAACCATCCCACAGCCCCTGGCCCAGGAACCGTCAAGCGGCCCCCGCCCGCCCGCCGCCCCAAACAAAAAAACCGTTCCTCGCTGCGTTCGGCGTCCATGCAGCGAGGTATGACGCTAGCAACGGCCATTTAGCAACCAAAGAAAATCAAGTTCGCCAGCAACGCTCGTCACTACCTGATCAAATCGGTCGGCTAGCTGCCCTTCTTGCGAAAAACGGGCCGATCTCTTGACTTCCAATACTACGCGCCCGCCCATCATCATTATCCATTTTCCCTTCCTCACGTCACGGCAAGACGGGGGTGTACCACACCATCCCACTCATCCCAAACTACAGCCAAAATGTCGACTGCACAATCAGCACAGCCAGGTAAGCCAAGCATCGAGCACTGATACGGATATGCACTGGCATGTCGTATCTTTCTTGACTTCCCACCATCTTCCCACACCCCCTTTCCATGCCTGCCACCATCTTCCTGGGTTTATCACCCCTTTGACTTTGGCCTTGTCCAACGGGAAGAGAGCCGCCCATTTCACTGATTGCACTGCCGCCCAAGCAAACGCAAGCACGGCACCCGCTCCACTCAGTTGTCGAACCTGCTGTGTCATGTATACTTCCCTCATGTTTCACATCCCTTCCCCCCCTCGCCGTCATTCGCATGCACGGGGTGGCCGTCTTTGCCTATGTCTCTCTCCTATCGAGTTGCTGACTTAACTTCCTTGGAACAGGCCATCAACCTAGCAGGTCCGCCGGTTCTGGCTTGACGCTTAATCTCTCATCCAACAACCCCTTTCGCAACCGTGCTGCCTCCCCACTCCTGTCCGGCCCTACCTATAGCAATACCACCTCGCCCGCTTCGCCTTTTGACGACCCTCCCCCTCGACCTGTCTCGCGCAACCCATTCCTCGATCCATCATACTCGTCTAGTCAACCAAACCTGATCCGAGTAGACAACATGGCACCAACACTTGACCCCAAGGCCTCGCCCACCGCCGAGGAGCTGTTTGTACGTGTTCCCGATCATCTCAGTTGAGACGGCGCGAATGTGCCTTTGAGTCGCCCGTCGATCGCCGCCGTGCGTACTGGCTTGGAGGGCTTGCGGTTTGCTGACTATTCTATCCAACAGGACAGCCTGACTATCGACGATCAAAAGCAATCGCGCCCCAGTGGAGGTCCATCTTCGACGAACCGTCCTGACCAGCCTGGCCGCCGCGGCCCTCCGCCACCTGGACACCGCCCGTCGAGATCCCAGGAAGAGGCCATGAGACAGCGACGTCTCCAAGGCAGCAACGGTGGACCTCCCCGACCGTCTGGGTCACAGGCATCGCCTCCACGTCGACCTCGGGAACGTCGACCGCGTAGGAACTCGGACTCGTCTGTCCTGATTGACGTTGAAAAGCCCCTCACCGAGGAAGAGAAGAAGGCAAAGGAAGCCCGACGTCGTGAGAGAGAGCGCCGCGCCCGGGAAGGAAAGGATAAGGACCCCAAGAAGCCCAGTCGCAGGCTTGACATCATTGATCAATTGGACGCCACCAGTATCTACGGCACAGGATGTACGTTTTTCTCAAATCACCCCCGCCCGGTCGCTCTTTGATGCTGACGAGCACAGTATTCCATCACGACGGGCCCTTCGATGCGGCCAACCCGCACCGCAACCGCAAGGGCAGTCGACGCGCACCGATGCACGCCTTCGCCAAAGACTCGCTGAACATGTCGCTCGGCGGCTCCGGTCCGCTTAACAAGCGTCCCGATCACGCCACTTTCTTGGGCAACAACGATGGCGACGCCTCTGCTGATTATGCCACCGCCGCCGCGCGAAACGCCGAGCGGAAGATCGACCCGGCTGTGTTCGACCCCAGATCCCGCGGCTCTATCGTGTACGGCGAGGAGTCGTTGGGTCTCGGCGCCTCGACGTTCCTCGAAGGTACTCCTGCAGCCCGTGCCGCAATCCAGCGCACTCAGGCTGAGCAAGCTCAACAGACTGCTGCCGAGGGTCTCGGACGCAGCAAGTCAATTGCCCAGCGTATCCGTGGCATCAAGCGAGAGCCGCGCGAGTACGGTCCTTCTGGCCGCATCACCAACCCCGAAGGTGCCTACACTTCACGCAGATCGCCTGACGGCCACGGCCCTGCCACTAGCGTCTCGTACACGGGCGAGCGGAACCCCTTCTTTTCAGAGTACGGAAAGGAGACAGAGACGATTTCGGTCCGACGAAACGACGCCAAGTCGCCTGGTACCCCACCGCCAGTTCCTCGACGGGGCTCTGCTAACGGCCTCGAGCGCCGTGCTACGTCTGACGTTACCTCACCTACCGAGGAGGGACCTAGCAAGCCTTCTGGTGGCTTTCTAGCCAGAGTCAAGAGTCTGAAGGGTGGCGGCCGAAAACGTCAAGCTTCGGACGTTATGGTACCACCACCCCCGGCGCCTGGAACTGCCGCCTAGTGGAGACGCAGAACATAGGAATCTGGACACGAGCTCATTGGGCCGAAGTGTAGGATATCTGGTTGCCGGTGCCAGCAACGTATCACCAGGAGACGGTCATTATTTTCTTTGAATCGCCGTACGGCAAGGCAGTCAGCTATGGCAGGGATCCTTGGAGCACCCAAAAGCCAACCATCTGACGATGTGAGGCCATATTACACCGAGCAGGTCACATTGCACACGTCAGGTTAATCTGATGCGACAAAGGCAGCGACCACGCTTGGTCAATACCGAATTCTGGATCGACCAAGAAGGAAGGGTATAAATAAAGGTTTTTGAAGTGGTTTTGGGGTGGGCTATAGGGGAAGTTAGCTGTGACAAGAAGGATCACGGTTGTTGGGGCGGGGAACAGTTGCACATATGTGCGTCTGGGCCTCGCAGGCGATACCTTTCTCGTGAATAATGTTATTTCTTTTGGGGGGGGGGAACAAGCCTCCTATTCTGCCTGGTTTTGCAACAAGTACTCCATTAGCCGAGGGAGGCCACATTACACATGGGAAATGCATAGAGCAGGCAGGCAGTCAACAGTCCGTTGGCAGATTGTTATGAATTAGCTTTAGTGAAAAAAATGGAAACTATCAGGCCCCAGAAGGACCAATACAGCACAGCACAGCATAGCATAGCACAGGCAGCATAGCACAGTAGAGCAGAAGTAGTGTTTGTTGATATTGTTGTGTACCCTTTGCTCCTGGTGCTGCCCCTGATGGCACAGGTGTGCAGGATATTTTTGGAACAAGGGACAGCTCATTGAGGCAGAAATACTCCGTAGGCCAAACACAAACAGGTAGGGACGACTTGGCAAGGTTTCCTTTTTGCGAAATCCGGGTGGCTACACTGAGCATGGAGCAAGGTCGGGTAATATTCATGCAAGATAAGAGGGATGATGTCATTGGACTAATGACTAATCATCTCCTCCAGAGGGGCGGGGCCATGTGCTATGCCTGTTGGCCCAGAGCGCCGAGACTGGATCGAGATTCAGGCGGGAGGATTAATCCCAGCTCCCCCCTGAGCCCGGACCTAGGTACCTGGCTAGGTACGGAAGGCAGTGTAGTTTACGGATACACTACAAAAGTCTTCATCACGTGACTTGGCGATAACCTCCTGCCCCCTGCTAGCTTTCTCCAATTCGCATGGGCATACACGCCCTCAGTTTGACCACATAGCCGAGACTCAAGATGGCGTGAGAGAGATGACATGCCCTGACAATATTGTTGGCTTTTTCTTCCTACTTGTACAGACGGCAGGGGCTGCGCTGAGTCAGTAAGCCCCCACAGAAGGGAGAGCCTAGAAACGGACTCTCATGGCCAACGCGGCCGCCGGTGAGGTCTTCTGCGGCTCGCAGGCAAGCTCACACTTTGCGCTGGAGCCGATCTCCGCGGCAGTCCTGTGCAGCCGAGAGACAAAGCGACGCGATGCGGCCAAGGAGAGGGGACCTCTGAGGGTTGGGTGTCGTGAGATGGACGAAGAGGTTCTTGTGGGTGGGTTTGAGAGGGGGACTGTTGTCGGGATCAGTTCCGAGAGCGATCAGATGGGGCTTCTTGTGAGTTGCTGCCTGTAGTTACGCGGGGGAGGGAGAGGGAAGGAAGCGGGAATGTGTGCGCGTGTGATGACTGACTTACCGCCTCTTCGTCAGATATCATTGCAGTCGTTGGCCAGCACGCTGTGCGAGGAGGGTGGCGGCGACACATCCAAAGAAAAGGACGCGAGGGCGATGGTTGTCACGACGCAGCCGCCTGCCACTGTCCTCCCGACACTGAGGGATGCGATCAGGGCGGAGCTCAGGGCGCGCGGAACGGCCGAAGCAGAGGTGAAGAGCAAGCTGAGGAGCTGTCTGGAGAGGGTCTCCGTGTCGAGGGTCTTTGATCTCGAGGGCCTGTGGGAGGTTTTGGGCGACTTTTACATTCCCACCGGGAGTGTGACTTCGCAGACATCGCCGGTTCCTCATGAGCAGCAGCAGCAACCTGACCAGGAGCAGAGAGGGGAAAGGGGGGGAGGCAAAGAGGACATGGGAGAGGTTGTGCGAGTCCCAGAGCCTTTGCCGGATTTGCCTAGGCACTCGGCGCCGGAGGAACAACCTGAGGGGATAGTGCTACCGGAGCTCAAACCGGCCAAACCCACGAGGACAGAGATTGCGGATAGCGACGAGGAGGACGCCCTGTCGCTATCGAGTGAGTTGTCGTCACCGCCTTCTTCCATTCGGTCCCCAACTCCGTACGCGGCAGACTCCCCTGAGAAGCCGGCCTCGCAGGACTCACATCACGAGGACACCCAGGAAGAAATTCAAGACGAGACGCGAGAGGAGATTCATCAGGTACCGCAGGAGCAGGCTGAGAATAAAACGCCAGAAGAGCAACCGAACGAGCCGGGACCGCCAGATATCATCCTCATCACACACTTCCAAAGCCTCATGACGGCCCTCTTCACACGCCACAACCGGCAGTCCGCGCATCACTCGTTGCAGGTCCTCTCCACACATCTACGGTACCTGGCGAGGAACCTGCCGAGCAGCCCACTAATCATGTTGCTAAACGGCACGAGCTCTTCCAAAGAGGCGCCGACGTCGGCGTCGAGGCCTGCGGACCACCAAGACGGCCCGCCGCCGCCCCTGAACTACGGCGGAGGTGCCGGTGGTAGCAGAAGCAACAAGCCGCTCGATCCGACCCTACGGTCGATATTCAACCCGCCCCCGCTGAATTCTACAGGTTACGGCGGCAACCAGGCGGCGTCGAGGCGGAACAGACCGACCTTTGGGCTGGTGTTTTCGCAGCTTCTCGATCTGCATCTCTTGTGCACGAGGGTCCCGAGGAACAAGGAGGACGTCGAGAAGATTTATGCCCTCGCGCCTGGGCCCGGGGTCGGCGGGGAGAATGGAGGATTCAAGGGCGGTGCGAGATATGTCTGGGTAATAGAGGTTCTGCTGGACGAGCTCGGCGTCTGGGAGGGGGATATCCTCAACAGTACGGTAAAAGTACGGAAGGGGAGGGAGCAGAGGTGGGCCGCCGTCGATGTCAAGGGCGGGAGGGTGGTGGACGCGTTCGAGGTGGCAGAGCAGAACGCCCGAGGGTCTGAGGTTAGGGGAGGAGGCCTTTCACACAACACAGAATGTGACTGAAAACTCTGGCGTCTCCGGGACGAAAAGTCATTGACGGCGGGATGGGTTCGATGTCGAAGTCAGGCAAGAGGAAAGACGGCATACCTCGTTTCTTGGCGACGCCGGAGAGGGCGACGATGCCCTCGGGGCAGCTGACAGCCACCTTGTTGTCCCGGCGGCCACAAATACACTGCTCCAAAGAGCCTCCCGTCCAGCCAGGGCGTCTGACAATTATGAATACCAAGAACAATGTGGAACGAGTCGTTCAATCCGGAACGCGAGAGCTGCGTGCTGCGGTGCAAAGTCGCTCCCCGGTGATGCGGACCCTGATGGCCCATAGCCCCCCCCCCCCCCCGGGAGAACCTCTATGACTCCATCCCAAAAAAGGTCCATCCGTATGTTTCAATCTGAGAGAAACAGTGAAAAAGAACTTTGCTACAGTTTCTGCAACCAAAACCAGACGTCTTCGGCTCTTTTGAGCCGTTTGCAAAGCCCGTCCTGTCCTAGTATCCAAGAAACGGAATTAAGGCTCTCTCTCTCTCTCTCTCTCTCTCTCTCCCTGCTTCCACGGGACGTCGAGTACGCGTTTGCTTTGACGCCTCCACGACACTACGACGCAGTCTCGCCACGAAGCCCTTGGGCCACGTCCGCGCTTCTTCTTCTTCTTCTTCTTCTTCTACGCCTTGGGTATCCGATACCGAGTCCAGAGAAAGCCGAGTCCAGAGAAAGCCGAGGTCATGAAGCCGAGCCGTCTTTTACCGTTGGCGGCTGCTGCTGGGGCACTCCCGGCGGATGCGCCGAGGCCGCAGGTGTCGATGCGACACGGCGTCCCGAGCACGCTTGACAGCGCGATCAGTCATCTGGGCCGAGCGGCGTTGAACGCTGCCGACGCCGTCGTGCAGACGGGGAGGAGGGTGCCAGAGTACCACGACGGCTCTGGGGCAGCAGCCGCGGTTGAGGCCGTGACCGGGGCCCTACAGCTCGCACAAGATGTCCCGACGACGCGTGGTCAAAGGGAGAGGACCGGCCCGTCTGCAAACAGGAGCGTCTTCGAGATTATCCGGCAGAGCGGTCAGGCCACGTACTTTGCACAGCTCTTGGAGTCGCACGCCCGGCTCCGGGACATGTGCGACGGCGACGACGACGAGGAAGCGGGGGTCTTCACGGTCTTGGCGCCGACCGACGCGGCGTTCCGCGAGCTCAAGGGTTTCGAGAGGAGCGAGGGGGCGCTGCTGGGGGCGATGCTCGAGTACCACGTCCTCGAGGGGCGGCGCTCGGCCGACGAGCTGGGCAAGGCGAGCGGAACGTTGCCGACCGTCCTCGCGGAGGGCGAGCTCGGCGGGCGGCAGCAGAGGGTGAGGGTCGCGGCGGGAAGGGCCGGGGCCGAAGTGAACTTTTACGGACGGGTCGTCGGTTCCGAATCTGTGAGTTTTATTTTTCTTTGTTATATTCTCCTATTCTTCAAGTGCGAGAATCCTTTGTGCTGATGCTTTTCTTCTTCTTCTTTTTCAACGCAGAATGGGAGGAACGGGGTCGTTCACTTCATCGACAGCGTCCTGGTGCCCCCGCCGCGGTGCGCCGCGCTCGTCGGCTCGCTGGCCGGGCGGCTGGGGACGTTTTCGCGGGCGTTGCGTGAGACCAGGGTGGCCGAGGAGATGCGCGGGCGCGGGCGGGGGGTGACGCTCTTCGCGCCGTCGGACGAGGCGTGGGAGGAGAAGCTGGGCGCGGAGGCGCGGGGGTTTCTGCTTTCCCGGGCGGGGAGGGCATATCTGAGGGCGCTAGTGCGGTACCACGTCGCCGAGGAGGTGCTGTACACGGACGACGGGGAGGAGAGACGCCGGCGGCGGGTCGGGACGCTGCTCGGGGGAGAGGACGTCTCGGTTGACTTTGGCGGGCGGGACGGGTCGCGGACGGCGAGGGTGAACGGGGCGGCGGTCTCGGTGGGGGACGTGCCGGCGCGGGACGGGGTTGTGCATGTGCTGGACGGGGTTCTTCTCCCGCCGATCCGGGGAACGGCAGACGGGGACGAGGCCGCGGACGAGGGCCGGATCAGCGTGCAGGGGCTCAAAAGGCGGCTAGGCCGGTACGTGGAGGGCGGGGACGGGGCCGGGAGCGAGGAGCTGTAGGGATGCGAGGGGCGTGGATCGCGGAGGGAAGTTGGTCCTTTTTTTGTGTAAGAGAGAGAAAGAGGGTGACAAACTGGTGGGATCTGGCTTTCCTATGATAATGATGCATGATGTCGGCCGAGACCCAAAGGCCTTCAACGCCTGAGATCACGACGTCCAGAACCATGCTGTGCTGCTTCGCAACTCTACGGAACGTGGCGGGCCGAAACCTTTGGCACAAGTGACTATCAAAAGTCGTCCTCCGTTACATCTGATCCGGCAGATGCAGGCACCTCCGCATCGCCGTATCTCCTGCTTTGCGGACCCGGGCCGGGTCCACAGAATGTAATCTAACCTCACCGGACCTAGGTTGCGTTAACATCCACTGATGTTTCTACCGTCATGGTCTCCGTCCATCTGTCATTGTTTATCGGCTCGGCGTAGCAGACTAGTTCGGGTTCTGCAGCTGCCAGGGAGATGAAGCACAACCGAGGTACTGATACAAGACGGGCTATCTTGAGATTACACATGTACACAATATTAACCATAGACAGTCATGAAAACACAGTAAAAGCACCACGCTCAGTGCTGTTCTAAGTGCTCAACGCAATACACGGGTTGAAAGAAACTCTATAGACATAGCAAAGTATCTACCATGTCAATTACCAGATTATAGAGGTTAAGAGTACCTCCTGGGATGGAGGTAATATAAACCCCTGATGTTAGCTAATGAGTCTAACTGCCTCATTCAACCGTCTCGCCGTCTCGCTATCTATCTGTCTAAAGTGCTAACCGTGTATGCGACTGCCCTTATCCGGAACTACATCCCAGACGATACCAATATACACAGTCACAACCCTAGTTAGAAACCAATCTGAGGTATATCAGCCTCTTACGCCCCCTGCAGCTCCATGGATTGCTAGGCTTCCTGTCAGCCACATCTCGGGAGATTGAGTTCAACGACGTGGACCCGGGCAGCTATCCGCCACTGAGACAACCGCAACTCTCTCGCTCCGCGCTCGCAAGCTTATACTGGCTCGTGAGAGATGTTGACTACTCCATGCTCGTTACCATCTTCTTCATCGGCTACCTCCTCCTCGGGTCCCGTTCAACCTGTTGCTATACAAGCTGCGCCCACCGCTCTACCTGCCTGGGGAACGTGCTCGCGTGGGGCGGTATCGTCTGCGCTACGTCGGTCGCCAAGGACCACTCGCACATGCTGGTTACGCATTTCTTCCTAGGCTGCATCGAGGCCGGCCTATTTCCAGGCTGTCTCTATCTACTAAGCTGTTGGTATACGAAAGCCGAGCTTAGCAAGCGCTTCGCCCTCTTCTACAACTCGGGCTGCGTGTCACCCGCACTAGGGGGGCATTATGGCCGGCTCCGTGATCCAGAGGCTCGACGGCCGATATGCGTATCTACCCCTTTGCATTTCTGTATGTAGTTGACCAGACACCTGCCTACCTTATCTACTTCATCCCCGTCGTGCTGAGGAACATGGGTTATACCTCGGTCTCGGCCCAGTGGACGACGGTGCCGATCTGGGCAAGCGGCGCCGTCCTCATGGTCTTGGCCTCTTACGCGTCGGACCGATACTCCGCCCACCGCGCCCATATCATCATCTGCATGTCGGTCTGCATGGCGGCTTGCGTCGTCTGCCTAACAGGCCGTAACGACCAGGTGCGCTACGCCATGCTGTGTTTCTACATTGGCGGCATCTTCGCCGCCGTTTCACAGATGTCCAACTGGACCACCAACACCTTTAGCCTGTTCGAATGAAACCCCCCGTCGCCATTGATTATGTCAACTCGTGCGGCACTCTCGCCTCGTTCTGGGGGGCCAGGATATGGCCTAGCTCCCAGAGCTCCAACTACACTGTGGGGTTTGCCACCGTCGCCGCATTGGCTGGCTCCGCCGCCATCTGTGACATTCTGATGCCTTGGTACTACCTCAAGCTGGCGCCCAAAGAACTACCATCACCAAGGCGGAGCGTGATCTTCTTGCTCGCAAGGGAGCCAGAGACGCAGCGGGGAGTGCCTGGACAGGTCAAAGCGAGCCGAAGCTGTGGACTGAGGATTGCTCTGTATACGGCTCTTGGCCGGCTCGAAGTCGGCCATTCTCTAACCCTCAGAAGATGGACACACTTAGAAAGCTAGGGCTTTGCCTGGGGTGGTCCTACGCACATACAACAGAGGCTCTCGGGTTCGTCTAAAGAGTAACTGGCGTCGAATGTTTGCAGCTGATAGATGACAAATAGTCGTTACTATAGGCCCGAGCTGTCGGAAGTTGAGCTCTTTTGGGGCTGCTAGTGTTATCTGGTCGCTAAATCCCCAAGAGCTGCATGTCCGTATCGGACAGGGAGAAGAAGGGCTCAAAACTTTGGTCGTATGAGGCTTGCATGATCCATCCAATCAATGTCTTGCGAAGCACAGAACGGTGGCTGCGGGTCATCAACCGTTGCGGCAAAGTTTGCCTCCTGAGATGTGCCGGGAAAGTTCGTGGTCGGGCTCTCCATTGGTGGCCTCGAACTAGCGGTTGTGGAATCGGTCATGATATTAGGAAAACCATCCGTGTTCATCTGTCGCACCTTAGACCGATGGGGTATTAGCAGCCGCAGATGAATTATCTCAGAGCGGGTGTCCTGCTTACACCATCGCGTGGTCGTCCAGGATCGCTTCTATGCAAACCTGCTAGCCACCTCTTAAACGAGTTGTAATTAGGGATTTCCCCAGGCGATGGGACAAGGTCGGGACCGAGTCCGTTCTGGTTTTGGAAATGTCTGAATCTTACGGGGACCAAATAGGTAAGTGCTTCATTCAGGTCCTCGAGGAGAGATGTTTCTTCCCGTGCCAGATCGCACATATCAGAGAGATGGCGCACCATCTGAAGGCCTTGCTGCACCAGGCTTCGAAAAGTGGCATCCCTGTTCTGGATTGAATAGGCAATCAACACAAGCAGGGATGCGCGGCACGAGTTGTGTTCGATGAAAGACCCCTTCGACAGGCCGTCTTCCCCCTTGTATAGTCCCCAGCAGAGCGCCACAGCTTCACGGGCTGCATCAATACTGTCTTCGACCAGAGAGTGTTCAGAGGCGCTCATGATCCCAGAACCATCATCGGTCATCTCGTATGGCTCTGCCTGTGCCGGGCTCACTCCCGAACCGGACGGCTGGATAATGGCAGTATTGCCACTCCTGGGGGGGGGGGGGGGGGCTGTCCTTTTTAGAAATAAGGAATGGACGCCCGACAAACATCCTTATTAGACAATAGAGGAGCCGAAGGTGGACGGAAGATCGCGCTGCCTGCCTATTGTTGATGCTGTCCTCGTCAAAGGTTTCGCATGGTATAGTATCCCAGTAAGCCTTCATCTCTGCCTTCATAGCAGCCAGCTGGAATACGGCCAACCCTGCATCTGCCGTGGGAGACTTTTTTCGCAAGGCCAAGCTGGTCACAAAATGTTAGTCAGTCGGCAGGGAATCGCGATTGCGTACGGGGGGCGTACATTTGTTCCAGGAATATACCAAGATATTCAATGAGTTTGATCCAGATAACCATGCGACCGATGTGCAGCGGTCCATCATCTGGTATGACATCAGGCGCTATACGAGGCAAGTCGGCGTCGACGTCCGATCTGAGTATTGACGGGGGTCTTCCGTGGAAAATAGCAATCTTCCTGTAGACATTGCCGTCGGCGTACGAGACGGATCACGGAACATGGCACGGTACGGACTTCTCTATGCTGTAAACCGTCCACCAAACACGATTTCTCGTCTCGATGGTCACTGGAGGCATCTTCCTGCCCGAGTACCTTCGGTGCACTCCATTCTGTATAGCCAGCCTCGTAGCTAAGCTGAAGTAAACGTACGAAAGCCCTGGTCCGTCCAACGGTTGTGCGTAGAAGCCGAGGATTGCAACCGCCTGTACACTTTCTAAAGAAGCCGACTGTATCACTTCAGGTAGCAGTCTCAAGGCACGCTCGTAGAACGAATTGCCGACGTCACCCTCGCCGGATGGGCGTTTGCTACTACTAGATGGCGAGTCCATGTGGGCGTATTGCGTTGCAGTGGCAAGCACGGCAAAAATGATGCACATTTTGGATGCATCCAAGACGCGAGGGTCGCCCGGGTCCTGATACGTAATATCGAACCATTCCTTCTCGACGAAGAAAAAGTTCTTTTGCGCATAAGCGAAGAAGACTCTGGAAAGGTAGGAGGCGACGAATCGAGGTGGAAGCTTGGCAATTGCCGTACGGATGACCTGAGCGCTCTGTTGCTGTCGCAAGGGCCTCCAACGACTCGGGACCATATCGCTTCTGGGCGACTTCTGCTTGGTCAGTTCATGTAGAAACTTAGCCTGGGTCTGTGAGCGGACCGCTGCAAACCTACATTTGCGAACCCACGAGCTTGCGCATGTCGTTTGACCTTCATGGAGAAAGCCCAGTACGAGAACTCGCCGGAGTAATCTATCGAGGTCAGTTCCGGCCAGCGCGAATATCTTGGAACCAAGGAGCAGCTGCTTGCTTACGGGCCGTGTGATGGTCGCGTGGTTCCAGCTCACAGTCCTCGCTGCAGACGTTACTCACCGCTTGAAACTTGGCCTCGTTCGTTGAGCCTGGGCTGTCGGCCAGATTTGCGTAGTAATATTGGCGAAGGGCTTCCGTGTCCAGAGACAGGTCAGGACGCTCGTGCTTAACTATAGACTCGAGGTACTGGACCCGGCTTTCAAGCTCGGTAATATATGATGACATGTCCTTTTCCAAGCGCCTTCTTGGGTCGCTTTTCAGCATGATAGGACCTCGGCAAGACTTGGCAAGGTATGGCTTGCCTGTCTGTGTTCTGGAGAAGCTGGGAAAACTCGCATGGTCGTCGGAGGCGACGACAACTCCGGCAGGGTTGACCGTTTTCGCATTTCTCCTTCACCTTGCGGCAGGCATTGCAACTGGAACAAAGATCAGTACAGTTATAGCTACTTACCAGGTATACGCCGTTGCTTATGCGTCTGGGTGTATGGGCGCTTACGCTCGAGATGCTCGTCTTCCGGCATCGAGAGAGGACTGTTGGAAGGGCTGCGTCTCTCCCTTTGACGCCGGCTCAGTGCATGTTGGCTGTTTTTCAGTACTTTGGTTCTGGTCGTCTCTCCATCCAGCCGGAGCGTGAGTAGATATTATCTCGTCGTTACCCCGGCCATCTATTGACGAGGCTGCCATGACGGATGGGTTATGAGTGTGTATCAACTCGTGCTAATGACTTTGATGCTCTCCTCAATACACCAAGTAGCCAGCGAAACAGGCGTCAGATGGTGAGGGGAGACGAAAGCACTTCTGGGGAATATGCCGATTCATAAGATGGGGCCAGCCAGACCGCACATATTTATGCCGTTACTGCCGACTACGCAACCCCACCAATCACCCAACTTCCCATCTGCCAATGTAGCCGATAAGCCTGGCTCTAGTTGGTCTCTGAATAAGATAAGACCAGGTTATCTCTTTGACACTGGTGAGGCTCTAGCCTCCTTGTCGAGATGCTAGTCATCCGCAGAGAATAATGAGACTAGGCCAAGGCCACATACTGCAGCACGTAATTCACGTCAGCTAGCTGCTCCTATACTCACTAAGCTTACAACCAGCAGCAGTAATAGTCTCTTTTCTTGAACGACAGTCTCGGAACATATCGCGGGTATAGAGCACTAAGAGTACAGCTACAAGCCCTTGTTGGAGATGAGCGTGAGCCTTACGCGACATGCTACTTCACCCGAGTCTTCTAGCACGTTTTGGTGCTTGTTGTCAAGTCTAGCTTATGTGGTTTCGAAGATGCTTGGTATGTTCGTGCTCTTGAAGTCCACATCGTCCAGCAGCATACATGCCAGCCCCTCGGCTGCTAGAAAGATATCAAGCGCGCTGTGTCCGTTGCATCCAGAAAATATTTGATTGGCTGTACCTGCTAGAAATCTTTCATATCCCTTTATTCCCGTTATACCATGAAGATTGGATGTACTGTGAAAGGACGGTCTGCCATGATTGTAATGAAGGCGAGTGGCGTGACAGGGATCGAAGGATGATGTTATTACGCTTATGCGCCTCGAGAGCGAGCCTCTTTCAAAAGGGCATTGTTATCATTGTTTAGATAAGAAGCGAATAGCGCGTAAAATCTAGCAAACACCGACATTGGATGATTTTTGATGTAAGATAGTACCATATTTACCATGTTTTAGTTGCGTGAGTCTCTGCCAGCAGGTCCCAATAAAGTTGAATTGGCGGACAACACAAGCTCTACTCAGGTCGCCGAGGCGTACGTATCCGACGATGCTTCAAAAAGGTGCGCCAACTATCCCATATTCGTGTTTCTTAAGCATCAACAGCTAGCAGACCGCGCTGTCGTGTTTCATATTTTCAAAAGCCATCTGGCGGTAAGCTTCCAGCGTCAGCCTCAGCATGCGTTGGCGGGGTGATCAGGGGCGCCCCTCAACTCTTTGCGCAGGATATACGCTAACAGCGACTAGCCTCGTTTCCCCAGAGTCTTGAATAACAGGGGTTAAAGAAGGAGATAAAAAAACGGGGGGGAAATAAGAGGAAGAAGAAGAAGAGAGAGACTTGATGATATTGCTAGATGTTTTTTTTTTTTTCATCCTCAAGCCAGGAAGCAGGTTTCACATGCAGGGCAGAGGTAGATAGGAAGTAGTACAGAGTACGGATACAAGTCGGGGAGAAGCAGGAGCATATCCAAAGCTGCCGGGACGGGGCCGGAACCCATGCCGGGCCCAGCCACCGAGAAAGCAGCACACATACCCCAACCCTGTCGCAATGTGGCAGAAAGTGTGGGGCTGTCTGCTGCCAGCTGGTGGGGCCCTCCTTCCGTTCTCTTGGTGGTGTTCTTCCTTCCTGCCGATTGCCAACTTGGCAGGCACAGCACAGTACGGACACGGATAGCCATACCCGGGAAGCAGGTGCGAGTGGTGTCAGGCACTTTTAGGTTGGGAGGCGGCTGCAGGACAGCTGTACTGCAGGATACGTACCTTTTTTTCCCCCAGCGACTCGGACGAGGATACATACAAAGACAGGATGAACTGCCTACACCTCATTCTCTCCTCTTCTCATGCAAACTCGGTACCTTGGCTGATGAATTGGAAAAAAAAAAAAAGAAACTTGGTGAGTCTTCCCCTACCTTTCGTTCCATCGTCGTCCCCCTTTTGGCGTTGGTTCCTGTCTCCGGGGCGCCACGGGGCCTAGCGCCCGGTCGGGTTTCAAGGGTCCTACTCCCCTGGTGGGGCGTTTTCTCGGTGGCTGGGAAGGAGAAGCGCCGTGTGCCGCCTTCCCAACCTCTGGCTTCCAGACCCCGCACGTCGCACCGCCAACCGCCGACTCCATTCACCGTCGCCCGTCGCAAACTCCTAACCCCAACCACTTGCAATTCGTACCATGCTCCTAAACAGCAAAACTGCACTACCACCCACCCACGATGCATGGTCTTCCCTCCCTCCTCTTTTTTTTTTTTTTTTTTTGGTGTGATGCATCACCCGTTCCATTGCAGACATCTCCGACCTCTTCTCTTCTCCCTCTGCCCCCCTCGCAAATTGACTCTGTTGCCTCATCCCGAGAGGAGGCTTACACGCCCGCCTCTGGTAGATTCTCGCACACCAACAACGAACAACCCTTGAAAGAACCCTTGAAAGACCGAGGGTCAAGGAGTCAGTCAGAGTCATGTATTCTCGCGACGCCCGCCCCGACTCTTTTGCCCAAGAACAACGTACGTCCGCTTCCTCGCCACACGCTTTCTTCTACTCTTCCACACTCCCCTCCTTCTCTAGTCATCGCCATCATCGTCACTCCTCGTTTCTGATTCGTGCCTGCTGACGCTCTTTCCCGCAGGCGGTCAATATCCCCCTCAGTTTTGGTCTGCCAGGACACCATCACAACAGTCGTCCACCCCAAACACTCTCCGTCCTCACCACGCTACCAGGCAACACTATGCGAATGATCTAGAGGACCCCCAGCAAACCATCTCCCCGCCGCCTGACTTCGTCCCCCGTGCACCCTCACCACCTTCACAGCAGCAACAACAACAACAACAACAACAACAACAACAAGCGAAGCCCTACTACCCCAACCAGAGCTTCCCTGCCCCAGTCGTCGTCGGTAACATGTTCGACGCCGAGGACCCTTACGTCTCACCGCCTGCCGTCCGCTTCAACGAAGCCCAGCTCGCCGTGGACGAGATCACGAACCGCGTCCGCAGCAAGGGCTTCCGCGATGAACTCACTATCGCCGCCAACGGCTCCGTCACTCCCGGCGTCGACGACACCCCCTACCTGCGTTATGCTCTGGAGGCCCTGACTCGGGAGCATGGCCACAACTTCTCTCCTCCCTCCAGCGTGCCTTCTCCCGCTGCCGGAAACGACGGCTACCACCGCGTCGCCGGCCACCTCCCGGACGACCTCGCGAGCCAGCGCATCAGCGGCGACCCCGAAAGCGGCTTCACGCCTGTCGTCCCCGTTCCAAGCCACGCCCGGGACTCGCTCCACCGTCAGTCCCGGCCCCAGTCCCACGCCGCCGACCGTCCTTCCGTGTCCCTCGGCACCCGCATCTTCTCCATGTCACCCCCCCAGTCCGCCAACCCCCACCACCACCAGGAACAGGGCCCCGCCACCGGCGAGTCCTCGCCTAAGTGGCTGCCCATCAGCGAGAAGGAGACCGTGTTCCCGGGTATGAACAAGCTCGACACCATCGACGAGGACCGCACAATGTTCCCCCGCCTTACCTACCTGCCCGCCATCCTCAGACTACCCTCCATGGCCGCCCTCGTCGTCATGTGCGTCGCCATGGCTGCTTGCCTCGTCGTCGCCGCCGTCTACTCGCCTATCCAGCCCGGTCTGCTGACTTACGGCGAGACCATCTACAGCGCCAAGTACTTCTTGTTCCGCCTCCTGCCGCAGATCGTCGCCGCCCTCATCTTCGTCTACACGCAGTGCGTCGCCGCCACCACGCTGCGCATCCTGCCTTTCGCAGCGCTGTCCGAAGACGAGCCCCTGCGGAGGCGAAACGCCCTCTTCCAGAACATGTACCCCACGACCTTCCTCCTCCCCCACCTCGCCGGGCCCGTCCACGTCAAGATGGCCTTGGCGATCCTGTGGCTGGGCGCCTTCGCCATCCCCCTCGCGAGCGCATCCTTCACCGTCATCCTCAACGAGGAGGTCTGGTACTGGTCCGCCGTCCCGGGTGTCGTCTGGACGCTGGTCGCCCTGTATATCCTCGTCATCGGCGCCGTCGTCCTGTTGGCGTTCTTCTGGCGCAACCGCGTGACGGGGCTCGTCTGGGACCCGAGGTCCATTGCCGACCTGTCCGTCATGATTAGCAGGAGCAACACGCGCGATTCCTACCGCGGGTCGGAGGTGGCTGAGAACCGCAGCGCCCTGCGCAGGATCCTGCGGAACCGCATTGTCGATAGGCTCGGCTACTGGATGACGGACAACAACAACCAGGAGGCCCCCTGGTACGGCCTAGGCACAGAGCACTCCCAGGGACACACGCCCTCGGACCACTACGACGTCAAGAACGAGTCGGACCGGCTGTCCGTGACCTCGCACCTCATCGACGAGGGCCGCGACGGCTACATCCAGACCCTCTATCTCCCATGGTGCCTGCGCACCGGCCAGGTCCTTTTCTTCGTTATCGCTGCCACCGTCCTCTTCGCCGCCCTCTTCGTGGTGTCCTTCCTTAACCGGACCAGCCTTATCGCCGGCTTCCTGCCGGGCGTCCCTGTGGCCCCCACCATCGCCGCCTTCTCCGCCGCCAACTTCCTCTACAGCTTCGTCCCGAGCTTCATCGGCCTGCTCCTCTACCTCGCCTTCCAGTCCATCGAGCAGCACGTCCGTATCCTCCAGCCCTGGGCCGACCTCAATGCCAAGGATGGTGCCCCGGCCGGCCGCTCCATCCTCGCCGACTACGCCGCCTGCCTGCCGCTCCAGTCCACTCTTCACGCCATCCGCAACGGCCACTGGCGCGTCGCCGCCCTCTCGCTTCTCGCCGCCCTCTTCGCCTTCCTCCCCGCTCTCGCCGGCGGCCTCTTCATGGCCCTCACCACCGCCTCGGTCGTCCGCATGTACCCCAGCGTCCCTGTTTTTGGCGTCATCCTGGCCCTCCTCGTCCTCTACCTCGCCGGTCTCGCTTCCCTGCTCGTCGGGCGCAACCAGTACCGCCTCCCGCACGCCGTCACCTGCCCCGCCGAGGTCTTCTCCTTCCTCGCCAACGAGGACAACGCCATGGACCCGGCGTTCCAGGCCGCGCCTCGTTCTGCCGAGAAGCTGCGCGTCTACCTCGGCGCGGGGCGCAGGTCGACGGAGACGGCAGCGCAGAGCACGTGGATGTTTGGGTACTGGCCCGGCCGCGACGAGAGGCGGCTCGGCGTCCGGAGGCAGAAACACTTCGCGGAGCGCCTGCCGTTCCACGAGAGGGCGCCGTCGCGCCCTTTTATGATTTAATGCTGAATCACCGATTCGGAAAAAAGTTTTACTGTTCGTATTTTGTTTGCGCGGCTTCCTCGCTGCTTGAGAGCTTTCACACACACTCTCTCTCTCTCCCCGTCATTTTCTAGGAGTTTTGGGGGGATTGGTTTATCTAGCATCGGCATGGCGTTTAACACGGGGGGCATTTACGCGACATGTGAAGACCGAATGAACGAAAGAAAGAAGATGAGACGTGTTCACACGATATGGTACGATAATGATGTGACGGGGGCAGATGTGAAATTGATCACGCATCATTTGCATTAAAGTTTATTTCTGCTTCTGTTTTTTTACTGTAACTGGTGTTGTTTATTGGCCGGCCTTCTCCCTCCCCGAACTGCGGGACGAATAGATACATTGTCAATAGATACACTGCCCCTTCCTTCCCTCTTCATCGAGGGAGGTAACGATACAAGTGGACACTGGCGTCTCCGTCGCATTCTAGACCTCTCGGTTCCCCTCGCCTCGCGACGGCCACTCTGGAATTTTCGGGTTCCGAAAAGGTTCCTGGTCCAGCCAGGCCTCTCTCGTCTCTCAGAAAAGGAAGAAGAAGAAAAAAAAAAGGGGGGGGGGGGGGGGTGACAAAAACGATGTACAACAAATCCGACCTCGCCGTGCCGTGCCTTCGTCTCTCCCTCTGCATATCGCCGACGGCCGTCACTCCGGTAACCCGGCCGAGTCCTAGAGCCCGGCCGCCACCCCTGCCCCCCTTCCTATTTTCACATGGGATGACGTGCAAGTGCACTTTGACTGGAATTCCGGGACGGAAGGAAAGGAGAAGAGAAACCCCACCCGTCGTCTGGCCTCGGAGCGACGACATCCGCCCCCGCCAGAAAGTCTCAACTGCCCGCATAGGGAATGCGACAAGGGCGGCGGCGGTGGCGGCGGCATGTTTTGCCCCGTGAGGGTTTCCCAACGGCGTGGTTTTGGTCAACAAAATATCGTGTGCGTGTGTGTGCGTGTGAGCGTGTGAATTCCCTCGTTCCTCATTCGGCCATGCCATTAAAGTTGCTCTATCTAATTCCCTTTTTGTCTGCCCCTCGTCTTGATCGTTGTCTTCCGACACGCCTTCTTGGTATTCATGATGAGTCGTCTCGTCATGTAAGTCCTGGTAGACTAGACATAGAGAGAATAAGAAAAATAAAAAAACAAACATCATGAGGAAAGCAACACTTTGACTTTTCCGCCTTCGCGCCGCGTCATCGTGGCCCCCTTCCGACTCGTCCCCTCCCCTTCAACCCCCAATACCCGTTGCCTCATCTCCTTTTTGTTTACTCGTTCCAAGAGAGGTTCCATCGCCAGGTATCGTCAGTGTTGCTGTTGATCATTGTTTTGACATTTGTGATCCGTCTGACTCGTCAACACCCCTCTCCCTTACCAGAACCATCAATTTCCTCCCTCCCTTGACGCCCATCTTTCTTCCCTCTCTCTCTCTCCGCCTTACCCCCCCTCTCCTTCGCCACTGCGACCTAACCCCGCGGGCTGCACTTCCCCCCTTTCCTTCTCTTGCCGGCTAAATCCTCCTCCCCACCGGTCCAATTCCCGCGATTCTTCTCGTCGTTGATAGCATTGCAGTAATGATAATGGTAAAACCCGTAAAAGCGTCAAAGAAAAGAAAAAGGCCATCAAATACATGGAAAAGGAGAAGAGACACGTAAATCATACTGGGAAGCGGGACCGCGGTAAAACAGAAGAAACAACAAAACAAAAGGAATAGACACGAGAGCAACAAACAAGGACGAAAAAAAGAAAAGAAAAAAGAAACGAAAAGACCGCTACGCTGTCGGAAACCAAGATACTCCGGCTAGTCCCACGCTTCCCTCTCGTTCGTTAGGCCGTACGAGTCGTAATGCGCCAAGTGATGGGAGAACACATGGGGGCAACGCATGCATGCGTGCATCACGTGTCGCCTTTACATGTTTGGCGTCTTGCCGTGCCCACGCCCAAACATGCGCCCGAAGACGGCACCGGACCTCTTGTGCCGCTCAAACTGCATCTGGTTTTCGCAGATCCTCTCGGCCTCCGTCTCGGCGCGGGCCCGGCGCAGCTGCGCGTCCGCCACCGCCGCCGCCTTGCCGCTCCGCCGCGTCTCGCTGGCGGTGCGCTTGTGCAGCGTCTTGACGAGGCGGGAGATGGCGTGCTCGGGCTCCGAGTCGTCCGATTCCGAGTCCGAGTCGAAGTCGAAGAAGGACTTGGGCGTGCCCGTGCCGCACGGCGTGGTTAGGGTGGGTGTATACGGCGGCGGTAGCGGCGCGGAACGCGGGTGGGTGAGGTCCGAGGTGGATGGGTAGTAGCTCCCATGTGAAGTGTGAGGCCTGGTGTAGTCGGAAGGGTTGGGGGAGTAGAGAGGCGACGAGAGGGGACAGAAGAGGGACGCGGTTGCGGGGGAGTGGAGGGGGGCTGCGGCGGCTGAGGCGGCCGCGGGCATGGGATGAAGGTTAATGGGCGGTGGGCGATGACCTCGTCGGAGATTCGCCAAGCTTGGTGGTTTTGGAAAAGGAGTCATGCGTGGTGAAGCAGGAGGGGGAGGCGGAGGAGGGTAGCTCGGCGCCTGGTGATGGGTGCGTGGGAAGATGCTGTAGGACGAACGGACGGCACGAACGGTGCGGCGAGCTATCGGATGGCTGCGAGGTCCTTCGGGGTCCTCGGGACTCTGCAAGGCTTGAGGGGCCTGGCAGCTCCTCATATCTGCGTGTGGCTGGGGTAGAGTCACGGGCTTTTCTTTGCTAGGAGGGGTTGGTGATGGAGTGTGCTTGACTTGGATATTATACTCGACAGGGCGCGGTGGCAAAGGGCAGTCGTCATAGGTGATGCAGCCCGTCTTCTTGGCTCTCCGGATATGCGGCGACGGTATCAATGCCGGATACCGAGTCTTGGACTTCTCGGGCGTCTTCTGAGCCTGCCCCTCTTCAGTAGTAGGCCAGAAGCTGTCCCAGAGCTGAGAGGCAGAGGTATGGTACTGGTAGTCGTCGTCCAGTGATACCTCCGAGTCGGTCCGGTCGTCGATAAGGCTGGGTGCTGAGCCGTTTGAGCTTTGTGAGCCGATGGAGGTGCGGTCTCTTCTTGTCGGCGTGCTTGGATGTGATAGCTTGCTAGGGCAGTCTTGGGAGAGGTCCTCTGTTGAAAACGTATGCCCGGCCCTCCTGTACGGGTTCCTCGTCGGAGTGCCGTCGCCTCTAGGGTACGAGAAGTTGGCGTAGCCGTAGTACTTGGAGACCAGCTTGAGGTGCGCAAGCTTAGTCTGACGCTCCATGCTCGGCGGCCGAGATGATGTTTGAGATGCCCTCGGGATATCAGGCTCTTGCGCGTGACCGACCATGTCCTCGTGGGGAACAGATATCGCTGCAGTCAGCGCCTGCAACGACGGCTCCGAACAGTACTGGATCTGGAACTCTAAAGGTGCTAACGTCACGATAAAGACATTGGGCACAAGACCACGGGGTGGACGAGGGGGGGGCAACGATATATGCACGGCATGGTACGTAGCCGTCGGCGAACAACAGCCGTCTCCCTGCCACAAAACAAATTTTATGTATGCTTCCTCTGTCATGGTTTACCAGCGGCACGAATCATATGCCTCGCACGAATCATATGCCTCGCACCCAACGGCGGGCAACAACATGAGCGCACAAATATGCAGCATCGTGTCTTGGGCACCTTGCTCTGGGTCTGGTCGGGACTCGCAATCCACTGCGGTGGCTGATTACGGCCAGAAGGCTCTCCCCTCCAAATCCTCAGACATTCCTCAGCTGGGGCTCTCCATCCCTCGTGGGATATGCATGCTCGGTGGCAGACACATTGGGGGCCAATCACGGGTATTTGCGAGCAGGCGAGCGAGGTGTGGCCAGTGTACTGTGGGGAGTCGGTCCGCATCGGACGATGGATCGCCTCGACGGCTCTCGAGGGAATGGGAGGCTGCCCGCTGGTAACCTTCGCATCATGCGGAATGCACGATTTCCCAAAACGGTATGACCATGGGCCTCTACATTGCTCGGGGCAGCAAACGCGCTTTGATAAACTCTCGTTGGTCCGTCAGTTACGAGGATGGGAAACTCTCTTGGGTTAGCTTCATCAGATACCCAAGCCATGACGATATCTCCTCTTCATCACCGGCCCTCTTGCAAAAGAGAATGCATGAATTGCATGGCGTCGATCAACCTGCTCTGGGAAGAAGCAAGGAAAAGGGCACGTCCCTGCGGAGAAGCCAACTTGGAGAGCCTCAACCACGACCCCTACTCTCCCCAGTACTTGTCCCTTAATAGAGAACGAGGGTCTTTTTAGAAATTAGGGGTCAGAGTCTGCTGGATCTGATTCTCTGCAGCTGTCAGACTTTTCGGATAATAGCCGGAAGGGGTGCAGAAAAAAGCAAGGCGGGATAAACTTTCATGTGGGAACCACGGGCCTGGAATGTGTCGACCTCTTGGTTGTCTCACTTCCACGGCGACGGCACTCTGCCCTCCGAGCCGATGGCGCCACAGTGGCTCCAGAGATCCTTCTCGACCTGCGTTCGCTATAATCAAGTCGTGAGGGCCGGCCTAGACTGCTAGGACTCTCTGCGTTGACGGGCGGTGCCATAAGAAAAAGAGGCAGGTAAGCAGCCCGATCCTTACAAAACATTCGGCGTGAACCAGTTTCGAGCAATCTGCCCTTGTGGGCAAGTTGTCGCAACGGTAAAAAGTGAGACAGGGCATCCTCGGCGAGCCTGTCTGTTCGTTTGGTCTTCGACTCCACGACCACGACCACGATCACGATCCGTAGACGGAATATCTCGTTGTGGTTCGAGCCGCAAGACAGGGTGATGTTGCTCCTTCGGAGCTTCGACCACGATCTCGATCTGCTTACTCGTGGATGTTTCGGCTGCGAGCAGCTCCTTTTCTAATTTCTTTAGGGGGGTTATTTCAGTGCAGGGAGGAAAAGAATTGATAAGCACAGCGGGTGGATGACGGAAGGCACGTTCCCCCTGACTCTGTTTGTTT